TTTTCACCAATGTTACAAGCTGTCAGCATTAACTAATTAACTAAATTTAGTAATTAACTCTCCAAGTCTTGCCTAAGACATTCCCAAATCGATTTTTTGCATTAGCTAATTTTCAGCATTCCTCATCGCATTTTGTTTAGTTTTTTTGCCAGTCAGGCAGGGCAGAGAATTTCACAACCTACTGTAATTTGCCATGCTCAAGTCTGGCGTCTATAACTAAATAGAAGCTCTTGTGTCGTAGTGCCGCGTAGTCGCAGTACTTAGCGCACTAACCACGATGAAATGAGGTTTGTTCAACCCCCTTTTCCGCCCCAGCCCACCGCGCACAGCTGTTCTTTTATTTTTGCACAGTAGATACCCAGGCTAACTGAATTAACTTATTCCATTTCGCCATAATAAATTCCACAGCATTCTTTATTTGCATATTAAAAAGTAAATAAATGCTAGCTAGGCAGGAGAAGAGCAGGCTAACTGGAGTAAAAGTATCTGGAGTATGTTTTAGTGCTGGCTGGCATGGTGGATTTGGTCATGTGCCTGATTATAAATACATATACATATACGTAATGCAATCAAGTCTAATTGAGGGCCCCCGCTATTTGGAGGAGCACTACAATAACACTAATTTGTGGGTTACCAGGTGACAGATGGCACAAATGCACTTATAAAGCCAGTTTCCTCCGCGAAATGTGAGAGAAATTGCAATCACTTTGCGCCTTTGGGGGGCAATTTCAGTTAATGGGCGAAAATAAATAATATTTCTCAGCTCGTAATTTGCCAAAATCTGAGCTGAAGATTTGCTTCCTTGTCCAAAGTATCCAAAGAGAAGAGGAAACGAAAGGAACGAAGCCTGGAACCCCAACTTATATCGAGATTTATTTGCACAATTCCGGTTTTGGGCCTGGGCCTGGGTCTGGGCCTTTGCCTCTGCGCTTCCCTCTCGTATTTTTGTATATTTCAATTTTTACTACCACTATTTGCTATGTTTGGTTTCTTCTGATTCTTCGCAGGGACAGTTCCCCCGAAAGGTGTGAGTGAAGAGCGAGACCTTTAAGGGTCCTGTTCTGACAGCTGTTCTTCTGCAAAAAATTTCCAGCTTGATCAGCTTTATATAACCAATTTTTAGCTTCGCATTTGAAGATCTTTTGACACTGAACCGAGGCACTGAAGTGGCGCCCACAAGCAGCCCCCAATTGAGACGAATCGGGCGGATTATGATGTTTCATTGACTTTGACACAGTGACACGCAGAAAATCGATCATCTTCAAAACAAATTGCAGCTTTATGTGGGCTAGTTAACATAATTAACGATGTTTCGCTTCGCACAAATTATCGTCGCTTTTTGCTATTTCGGTGGTTAGCATTACCAATTGCCGATTGTTGTAGCAACTAAAAGGCAGTTAAAATATTATAAACGTTGCCACCACAACAACACTCAAGCACACACGAAGTCCAGGTGATAAAAAGGCGGGGGGGGGAGGTGGGGTGGCGTTCGGTCGCCAGGTGAGGGTACGGAAAGAGACGGAAACGCGACGCGCGCAGCTGAGCGGAGTTTGTATTTGTTTTTGTTTTTTTTAGGTTTGCACACCTTTCGGTATCCACCCGCGACGAAAAGGCAGCGTCTGAACTTGAGCGCGTTCGCAAGCGAACTGAAAATAAAAAGCCCCAACGAGCGCCGACGAGCGCCAAACCAGCGAATAGGTAGAAGAAGCCGAAGAAGAAGTCCCAGAAGAAGCGGCACACGCAGAGAGCGAAGACTGAGAGCGGCCCCCAAAACTAAGGAGAGTTACGGAAGGCTACGTTAGCAGTGCTAGTTGTTGGTCAGATAACAAACAAAGGTAACTACACTCGACTATAGGATACCTTCAGGACTTATAAATCTAAATATTTTATTAAAAGAATTCTTCAAGAAATCCTCATTCTTTTTAAGTTTAAAATAATCTTATACTTGCACTATAATATTATGTTTTTAGAGGCCTATAGATTGTAGATTTTATTAAATTTTTTGTATAAGTATACCTGATATCCCCAACTAGTCTAGGGTATTGAAGCAACTATATTTTTCTTACGTGACGTAAGTCTAAGACGTAAGGTGTTTGAGGCAGGTTGCGAACGTGGTGAGTTCGGTGTTTATAATGTGAATAAGTGAGTGCCGGTGCAAGTGTAAGTGTGAGTGCTCAGGTGAGTGGCTGCAACATTGTCTTTCTAATTGAACATGCACCCAAAAAAGGTAGATAATCTCATTTAAAATAATAAATAATTAATTAATAAACTGTATGCCTTTTTATATATTTTAGTTTAAGAAAAAAATAGTTCTTAAACTTTTATAGAATTAAAAGCCTTTCTAAATGGAACTTAATGGTACAGGTAGCCCTTAATACTATATTAGCCTCCAAAATAAATAAAATACTATCATGAATCAAATTTTTTTACAGTGTGTGTTGCAAGTTGCAGTGCTCCCCATGCGAGCGTCCTAAAAATAGCTTGGCGGCAGCGCGTGTGCCACAATTTGGCTTTATCGTTGATGGAGCGTTAGCCTATCATTAGCTGGACTTTGGGCAGGCACTGGAAATGGAACAGGGGGTCGGCGGCTGGGGGCTCTCACGCTGCTGGGCGCTGACTTTTCGCGGTGGGTGTGTGTCTATGTGCAAGGTTGCGATTATGGGCAATGAATTTTGGGTGCGGGCTGTAGATTTACAATTGACTCAGAGGGCGGTGGAGCTAATGGCAGCACATTCGATATGCTACTTAATTGCAAATCGATAGTTGCAAATGCTGATGGTTATGGCAGGCAGTCGAAAGAGGAAATATGTGGTTCAGTACTCCATACATTCACGAAAACACTAGTAGAAACACATATATGCTAGATATGCTAGATCCATATCTTTGCCAATAGGCATCCGATTCTTTAGTGGAGTACCTTAAACGATTCGTAGATGTATTCTCCCCCAATCTGCATCAAAATCTAAGAATGTAAATTTTTTTAGATTTTTTCTAAAATTTCCTGGGGTGACCCCTGAAAAATTTTGGGAAATGCCTTGGAGGAGCAATACGGCTTCCAGCGATGGCTATATCTTTGGCAAAAATGATCCGATTCTTGAGCGGAGTACCTTAAACGATTTGTAGATGAATTCTCCATCAATCTGCATCAAAATCAAAATCAATTTTTGTTTGTAAAATTTCCTGGTTCCGACTACTCCTATGATAGTAATCCGATATACTCTTGTCTTTCAAAGATACCACGAAAGGGTGACTTTTAGTAGACATTTTACACTTTGGAACTACGGCTTTTCCCCGTGACTCCAACCAACAATTGTCTTCATTATCAAACGTCAATTCAAGCTTAAAGAGTGAGTAAGCCATAAAAAACAAACAGCTATGGGGCATGGGGAACATGAACTGATAATATAGTTGTGTTTTTTTTCGGTAGACACAACAATTGCCTTGAAGAAACAAGCACTCGAGGCAGCATCAGGAGACCTGAGTCATCGAAAGATCGTCGCAACCATTAAATTGTGTTTATTTTTGTGAGGGAATAATTGTCGGTTTTTTTTTCGTTTTTGCAGCTGTGTTAAATGAAACTAAATGTCTCTTATAATGTAATTTGGGTAATTTGTTTTGTGGCTCTGCTCGCGGATTTTGTTTTGGTTTCCACGCATCAATGCCATTTGCTATTTTTGGGCCGTGGCGAATCATGGCAAGAAATTGCGATCCAGAGGTTCAGAGGTGAAAAGAAGACCTTTTCTAGACAATCTCCTTATTTTTTTATGGAGGGTTGAATGGACTTTCGATTTTTAATGTTCGGCGACGCGTTTTTTAATGGCCACACATTTGGCGGCTCAGAGTCAACAATGGCATTTAACATATTCGGTACACAAGAAGCGAAATGAATAAACAAATATTTGCAATCGTTTTTTTCAGAATTTTTTTTTTCTCTGGGCTTCTCTGGTGCGAATATACTTTTACAGTTATCGCCCTGACTTCTTGCTCACTTGATTTGGTTTTATGGCCATGTTAATTGCATTATGACCCATTTAGCCGAGAGTTGTTCTCTTTCGAGACGAAAGTCTTGTTGTTATTTTTGTTTGGCCATCAAACTGGAGCGCTTCCCCGGCTGGGAATCCGGGATCCAAAACCAAATCCAAAGGAAGTCCCAAGCCGAGGCGACGGAATGTAATTAAGATAAAATTTGTGTGCTCATGTTTTTATTCTCGTGGTGGTTCCGCATTTTGTTCTGACAACAAAAGTGCTTTGTTGTATTTGCATTGAGGTTTCAAGAAGAATTTCAGGGGTATATACGGTGGGAAATGGTTTCAAAAATAGTATACAATATATCAGACCAAAGAAAGTGTCTTGACTTAAATGTTCCAAGTCCTTGAAGAGTTTCAGAAATACATTTCTAGACCTTAAATCTACTTATATTAATGGGATGTTTCAAGTCGTATAATACACCTTAAACTTCTTATTTTTTTTTCTTTTTTTTGTAAGTGCCTGCGAACTCTGGCTGACTCACAAACAACGGCCCCCGCAGCCACTTGAGGGCTGTCACTCAAAACCGAATCTGGCGAGAGATGCCGGAGGTGATAACTGCACCACTGCACCGCCATGGGCTCCAGTGGGTGTGGGCATGAACACCTCGGCTCGCCCTGGCCTGCCCTTTGTCATTCGGATATGAGACGCCCAGCTGCAGGTAAGCGATACAGGGCGGCGAGTGTCAAAAGTTCTGCGATAAGTGAAAGGTTCGAGGGTGTGGGGCAGGTAAATTAATTAAACGGATAAGTATGCGGAGTATTCGAGTAACTTCCCCATCTAACCACTCAATTTGTGGGGACCATGAATGAAATGCAGAGAGTACACCATCAGGAATATGTGTATAGTCCCCCACCCAAGACGAGGTGCCTGTATAAATAAACTGAAGCGTGGGCGCAGTCGATATCGTAACAAGACGGACGGGCAGGCTGCCAAAACGCCTGCAATCTGCATGAGAAAAGGTGGACACTTACCCTGCGCTGGTGCTGTTGTTGTTTCGGCTGCTCGTAAAAGCTGCTATTGCTGCCATTCTCCAACCACTCGACATCGCTGCAAGATCAACAGAACATATACATTTATATTAGTATATTTTTAAGATAGATAAGCAACCACATGTTGAGCCAATTCACCACACAACAAACGGGAAAGCTCTCTCCCAAAGCTTCATGGGATTTATCATATAAATATATATATATTTCTTATAGTGTACCTTGCCAAAAGTATCACCCAATGAACTCGAATCGAATTCCTTTAGTTTTCAGGTAAAAAGTGGAAAACACTCTTCCTATTTACTAAAAAAAAATACAGGGAACTGACTCACTATATTAGCTAAACCAAGAGGTAAACAATTATATATTTAAGAATAGCTATAAATCAATAATAAATAAATTACTCTGTGTCAAATAAAGAAAATTAAATGCCTTTTGGTTTATTTTTAAAACAAACATTTAAATGGCAGAAGGCAGAGTAACTCATCAATTAGTCGGTGTGTATCTATTAAATACTATCTACGTATCTTGTAGTTTGGCTTCCTAAATTAATTACATAAAAGCAACTCTCAACTCACCGTTGCATTCTTTGGATAACTGGCAGCTGGGCGGTGCTGTCATGGATTCGCACCTGGTCAGGTGTCACCTCCTCCAGCAGGAACATGTTTTTGCTGGCGAGAGAAGTCATTTCACTCTCGGCCGGACAGGAGTTCCCGTAGAAGAGCGGACTTAGGGGACGGCAGGCTCCGCCCAGGAGCTCGTCAATGTTCTGATGCCTCGAAATGAAGAGTTTCTCGCCGGCTCTTCTCGTTTGGGGAAAGTACCGGGGCTGCAGGGGAGGCATGAGTATGGCACTGGGGGGCGATGTGGGTGGGGCTGGCTCCGGTGCCATCTTGGTACCCGGAATGTTGTCATAGGGTGAGGGACAGCGCACAGGACTGGCGCACTGGCCCAGGGGCGGTGGTCGTTCCGAAAAATTGAAGGAGCTGCTCAGTTCGACAGCAGGATGCATTTGCCTCAGATCCACCTCGTCCCTGGAAGGTTGCAGATACACTGCCACCTCGGGCTGCGGCTCCTGCTGGTTATCCTCCTGCAGCCACCAAGCTCTCTCTCCGGACTCCCAGTGCTTGATGATCCGGGGAGGAGGTGTAGGTGGCTTCACCGGCGGTGGTTCGTTTTCCTTTTCCTCCTGGGGAGCTGCCTCTTCGGGGGACTCCTGCCACCAGGCTCTCTCGCCGGACTGCACCCGTTGTACGTTGAACAGCTTTTTGGCGGGCCCGGACATCCACCAGGGATTGGAGCCGTTGCTTTTTGAGGAGCCACTGCTCTTGGAGGTCCGTTGACTGCCGTGCGAGGGCAACTTGAGGGTCACCTCTACGTGGGGCTCACTGTTGTTGTTCATATCGCCATTAGACTTGGATTTGACCACCTCCTGCTCTTCGTCTAGCCACCAGGCATCCTTCTCCGGGGACAGGCGACTCCGTGGCATCATCTTTACCTGACTGCTGCCGGAGTCCACCGGCTCATCGCCCTGGCTCCACCAGGTGCCCTTGCTCACCTCCTGATTGTCCTCGTCCAAGGGGTTTGTAGCGTCCTCCGCCAGGGTGTCATCGTCATCCTGGCCATTCTCATCCTGTCGCAGCCACCAGGCCTGCTCCTCGCCAGAGTCTATGTGTCTTAGTCGGTAAGAAGGCATATCTCCTCGATTCTGATCCAACGCAGAGGCCGTATTTATCTGAAGACTTGTGTCCTGCCACCAACTGGGCTCGTCCTGTTCCGAAGTGCTTAGACTGGCGGTGGCTGTAAGGCTCGTGTCCTGGCTGATAGTGCTCACTATACTCGTGGTGGGCAGGGTGGTGCCGGCCGTGGTGGTTTCTCTAGGACAGCGCGTGGTCGAACTCAGGGAATTCGATTTGGGTGAGGGGGAATTATTTATTTTCGCTTCGCTCGAGGGCGTCGTCGGTTCGTTCGTTCGCAAATCTGCACTGAGACTGTTGGCCGAAATCTTCGAGATTCCCGAGAACCCTGAGATTCCGCCTGCAGTGGTGACCTCCGGTTCGCCCGAGCTCTCGGAGCTTTCGAGGAAGATTGGCTCGTTATTTGCGTCTTGCTGACGGCTGGCGAAAAAATTCGATACAGCCGAGAGCTTCTTCAGTCTCGTCTGCGCCGCCGTTGGCACTGCCACCACCTCAACCACCACCTCGGTGGCTGACTCAGTGCTGCTGGGCGGGCTAATCGATTTGTGGGCGGTGGCCTTGATCCCAGCCTCTTTGGTGGTCTTCTTCTTGGCCTGCTTTTTCACCGTCTTGACCCTTTGATCGCTATCCGAGGCAGAGGCGGTCGATGAACTGCCAGTGTTGTCGCTGCCGGACTTCTGAGGCTTTGGCTTGCTGGGAGTTGCCTTTCCATTGCTGAGCTTATTGGACTTTTTCGAGGATGCTCCGGATGCTAGGCTGCCCTCGGAGCCGGCACTAGGTGAGCGCTCCAGGTGGCCACTACCATTGGGGAGATCCTCAGATTCTCCGCCACTGCTGGGCGTTCTGGACTTTCTTGGCCGGTCTGTATTGCCCACATTCAAGGACGACTTTCGGAAGTCCTTGTTGGGCCACTTTACCGCAGAACTGCCCGAGCTGGAGCTACAGGTTTTGGTTGGTGAGTCCGCTTTGCTGGGCGCGGCCGGAGGCTTGTTGGCCAGATTCTCCACCGACGACTGGCGGGAGTTCAAGCGTATGGCTTTTGGAGGCGAAAGTTTAGATTTCGAGGATTTTGACGAGCTTACAGACGTTCCATTGCTCCTAGGCGGGGACAAAGCTTCCGAGGATTTTCCAGGAGAAACGGAACCATTTGTGCGGGGAGTCGAAAGACAGAGAGCCTCAGAAGACTTTCCGGGCGTCAGGGAGCCATTAGTTCGTGGCGGCGAGAGGGCTTCTGAGGATTTACCAGGTGTCAAGGAACCATTGGTCCTTGCTGGGGAAAGGGCTTCCGAGGACTTGGCCGAACTCACTGAACCATTGGTCCTTGCTGGAGAAAGGGCTTCCGAGGACTTGGCCGAACTCACTGAACCATTGCTCCTAGGCGGTGTCAGAGCTTCTGGTGTCAGATGATTCGATCTGACCTCCGGGCTGGACTTTCCAGACGCGGAACTGTGCAGCGGACTGGCGCTGTATCGGAGGCTCGTGATCCTGTCTCTGTGAGGACTGTAGGTGGTGCCCCCGCTGTAACGCAGATATCGCGAGGAATCATCTAACCTATCCGACTGAATTTCCTGATCGGTGGTTTGTCTTTTTTTCGTAGATCGTGTTACGGTCTTTTCGATGGTCTTTGCCGGATCGATGCGACGGGTTCGCTGTACGGTGGTGCTGCCCGGCAGAGTGGGTGAAGTGGCTCGTGTTACCACCGAAATAGTGATGAAGGTTTCGTCACCTTCTGAATCCTTGGAGCTTTCTTCTTCTGACTTCTTTTCGGGGGTCTTTTCCTTTCCATTAGATGTGTCACTTTGTTTCTCCTCGACCTCCAGATCCTTCTCTTTTTCCTTCTCTTTCTCTTTTTCTCTGCTAGCCTTTGCTCTGCTGGCAGTCCTGGCATGAAAGTCACTGGTGGTCAGGTAGGACAGAGCACTCCCATTCCCAGTTATCCTAGATCCAGCTCCGGCTCCATAGCGGCTGCTGTAGCCAGTTCTGGAGGCAGATGAGGATGAACTGGAAGTGGTGTTTGCCCCTCCACGATAGCTTGTGGCTAGTTTACTTCTGGCGCTGTCTATTACAGGACTGGGATCCCTGGACTTATTGCGGTTTGTGTGCTCCAAGGCCACCGGGCTTGGATCCCTCGATCTTCCATATTTTCCCAATGAGCTCGTCGCACCTCCAGTGTAGCGTTTCACGGGACTTGTGCGATCATTGGTGACAGTTTCCTTGGGTTCGGTTTTGGCATAACGGCTGACATAGCTGGTAACTGGGGTGGTGGTTGCTGATGGTGGTGGTTCCCTTTTCAGGCGGTATGTTCCCCCGGAAAACGAGGGCCTATAGGCGCTGGGCGTGGCCAGAGAGGTATATCTTGAAGTGGAATCCCCACTACTTCCATACTGTAGAATAAAGGACAAGAATTAAAAGCGATCTTCCGGCTTAGAATGGCGAATAATACTTACTGTGGAACTGCCTGTCTTGTAGGAGCTGCCTAAGCTGGATTTCCAGGGCGTCTGTAATGGAAAGTTACATATATTAGTTTTTCAGTGTATAGTTTTTAATGAACCATGGCATAAGTGAGTGATTGCTTTATAGCCATTTGCAGTCTTTGCAATTTTCCAGGGAATATGCACGCAGCCATTCAAAGAAATTGGAACTGATGGGCAATCACATGGCTTTGATTGATTGGCGCTCTAAAAGTCTGCAGCCAATTGACTCCAGGGAGGAAAAGGCATAAATAAAGAAAACCGACCGATGCTCCAGATTCTCCATGCACCACCCTGCCTCACCTTCTCCACTTTCCAGGGGGAATTTTCTCAATGAGCTGTGCACTCGACAATTATTCGCACGCATTTCATCATCATCAGCCACAGCCACAGCCCACAGCCGCTGCAGCATCAACATCAGCAGCAGCAACATCAACACAACAGCAACATGAGGCACATCAGCAACATCAACACCACCAGCAGTCGCTGCCAAAGAATCCGGGGGAAAGACCCCCATCCCAAGAAGAACCCTCTTTTTCCCACCGTCCCGGCATCATCCCGATCGAACTATTTGTGTTTTGGGGCTGACGCTTCTTTGAACTCTCCCAATTGCATTTTCCTCCGATTTGAATTTGGATTTGGATTCGGAATCAGATTCGGATTCTCAGCCCTGCGTCTATTTCATTTTCAATTAAATGGCGCTGCAGCACGCGTTTTTCAATTAATTTCGACGTGTAAACAGATTCATTTCGATTATTTCAACATCTGCCTTCTAATCGCGGCCCCAGTGCATTAGAAGACTGCCCTCGTCCATCGCGGGACAGGTTCGGGACAGCGCCTTCCCTTGGATGGACTGAGAGAATAATTAGATTACGGACTTGAGGGGTTAGATCTTGACAGATTTTTTGCAATATCTCTTCGGGGGATTTAGGCGCCCATTTAGCATTTGTTCGGTTACAGATTTTTTGGCAACCGAAGTGATTTTAGCCAATTATTGCAAGTGATCTTTAGCGAGTGGTTGAAAGGCTTGTAAGACTTTTAAATATATTTAAACAAAAAAGAAAATAAAAGACTGCATTGCAACAGATATTGAGCAATCTTTGCAATTCATAAAACAAAGCAAAAGCATATAGAATTTCAGCTAGGAATTTAAATAAACATTTCCAGTGAGACTTTTCCAAGTGGCGCTTGTTCCTCTCACTCCCCTCGGATGACATCTCTCGTAGGGGGAAAAAAAAGATATTAATAATACACTTTCCAGCCCAACCGTGAGCAGGGGAGGCATTGCGGAAGACGGACAGTCTCGGCTAATTGTTTTCGCTCAGTGAAATGGAATGCCAAACGCAAATAGCCCAACAATGTGCAAAACAAGCAAACGCCGGAGACACTCAGCCGGAGAGGGCCGGGAGGAGGCGCTGATCGCGGATGGATCTTCTCTGGAATGGAATGGAATGGCGTCTCTGCCATGTGTACTTTGTTCCTCAGCGAGTATGTACTTCTGCACTTTGCTCTGACAGCATTATTATGCGGTCTCAATTGGGCTATAGCCCATAGAATCCAGGATGCACTATAATGTGTCTGTCTGTCAGTGGCCGGAGTCCATATAGGAACTGTGATCCCAACCACATCCACTCTCGAAGTATATAGACTGTGACCCGGGGCGGCCCACTCGGATATTATAAAGTGGCGACTGAACAGATTCGCGTGCCAGACAAATGATTTATTTATAAATGCTTTTCTAGTTTCTACGTAGTTGTCAAAAGTGTCGAAAAATGCGTTTTTCGAAACTGAAATTCTCTAAAAAGATCGTCTGGGGATAAGAAATGGCCAAAATAAAAGTGAAAGATGAGAGGAAAAGTGCATTAATTTATGCTTTCATAGATCTACTTTTAAGAAAGAAAGCTATGCTAAATATACCATTTAGAACCTCTTTAAAATCAATTATTAAATCAATTATTAAATAAACATTTATCATAGAACAAATTTTTTTAATCCTCATGACTCAATAAGCAAATATATACTTCAATGCATTTTCTCATATGGAAGGCTAGACATTCACGCAGATTACAAATTTTACCAAGTTTTTTCGATGAACTCCAACCGCCTGACTAAGATCCTATCGGGGCCTATCCCTAGCGGGCTCCCGCTTGCGTTCCCTCTGAAAATTACGGTGACGTTCACGACCACGCTCTCGCACCGGAGCAGCAACGACTGGTTCCGGTGTCGGGACTTCCGCTGGGGGGCCCGTTTCGGGAACCGATTCCTTGCTTCCGTCCTTGCCACCGCCACCCACAAGACCCAAATGCCCGGTCTCCGGCTGGAAGGGATCCCAGACCGGTGCCATGGTCGGATACATGACCATGGCGTCTCGCATGGCGCGCATTCCCATCTCGAGGGCGCAGTCCATGGAGCTCCGTTCGGGTGGGCTGTGGGTGAATGGACCGTTGAAATGCACATAGATGTCGCCGCGGGCGGCCAGGTCCAAGCCGAACGTGGTCAGATCCTCGCCGAAGACCAGCTGCGTGGAGCTCGGATCAGTTTGTGTGGCCCGCATGGCGGCCAGTAGTCCGGTCATCCCGAATCGATCTCCCAGCATTGTGGAGGGTATGTTGGTAAAGCGGCCATCGGGCGAGCTTTGGATACCCATTTCATTTTCGTGGCTGTTTCTGCCGGGTCCGCTGCTTCCACCGCCACTATTGGCGTTGTTTGTCTCGCAGCTGGCGGCGCTACTACCTCCACCCGGCTTAGGGTTCCCGGTGCTGGGAGCGGGGGCTGCTGAGGTGGAAGGTGTCTCTTCCAGCTCGAACCCGGCTCTGTAAGAGGGCTGGCCGAAGATGTCGGCGAACGTGGGCAGCCATGGCTGGCGGTTGTAGATCTCCGGGAATAGCCGGTAGTCTGTGTCATCACCACTCGGCGGATCGGCGCTTGAAGTGGACTCCACCTCGGGCGGCTCTTCACTCACGGGCTCCTCGCTCAGTGGCTCCTCGCTTTGTGGTTCTTCGTTCTGTGGCTCCTCACACGGTGGCTCCTCGTTAGGTGGATCTGCTATTGGGGGTAGGGCTACCAAGGCACTGCGCTGCGTTGTCTCTGGTTTAGGGCGACCACTGGGTCCGCTGCTTTCCGGATTCTTCTTGCGAACCACCATCGACTGATTGAGTTTGCAGCGCGGGCGACGACGTCTTGGCATTTTGAGGTCATTTTTTTTTTAACCTTTTTGTATTCGAAATAAGTTTTGTTGGGTGGATGGCAGCTGGCGGTTGGGCTGGGTTGGGGAGTGGAAACGAATATCTTAAACTCTACCTGCACGACACGATTGTCTGGGAAAACCTGGGAATACTAAACTCTGTACCCGGACCTAAGTAGTTGACAATTGCCTGGCAAAAGTCTCCTTTGATCTGAACTGATAATATATCATTCACAGCCTTCTTGTTATTACAATTTTCAATGAATACTAATATTTAGTACTAGACGCCCATAGATTTGTTTTGTTTTTGGTTCCCACTCTAGGAACAAATTTCATGAATATTCACACTTTGTTAATTAATTGGGTGGTGCGTGCCTTGCCACTCTCACCGAGGAACTTTCAACTTTATGCGTGTCATAAATATTTACAACTTCCTCCCACTTTGCCCCATAAAAATCTCCAACAAAGTACCAACTCCAACATGAGCAACAAGACTGCGTCAACGTGAAGGAAACCGAAATCATTTTCCTTTGCTCCTCGAGGAGAAAAAAACACACACATTCTAAATATAATTGGGGAAATGATGCTGGAGTGGCTGGTAGTGGGAGCGACTTGTTGTTAGCCGGCTATAAATTGATCAGTTTATTAGATTCTGGAGACCCCGAAAAATATTTAATTGATTTATGTCCAGGGTGTCAGAAGTCCACCGAAAGTCATAAACTTGATCCCGAGAACAAAAGGATATAATGAGTCGAACATGAAGGGGGATTAGCTAAAGTTTTGAGAAAGGGAATGGTAATGGGGACTTTTAGAGGGATAGATATATTTCCTGGCGAAAAATCAAAAGAAAATGATATATTTAATTTGTCAAGAAATCACTCAAATATTTCAAAGCGAAAACCGCAAATAAATCAAGCCAAAATTTGGCATTTAATCTACTCTGCCAAAATAAAAGCCATTTATTCAAACATTTAAATGGCCATTCATTCATTCAGCTGCCACACCTCGTGCCCATAATTTGAGCCCCTCTGGAGCTGGAGAGGAAATTAGAACAATCAACTAGGCCGAAATCTAATCCCAAATGCCAGACAATGAGCAAAATTTGTGGGCGAATTGTTTATCAATGGAACTGGAACTCACGAACACAAGTGTAGCTGGCGGATACATTCTATCTGCCAGATAGCCGAGGCAACAAATTAGAAATAAACAAAAATCTGTGGATGCGAAGAATCGCAAAAAAAAAAGAGCCAAAGATACTCGTACACTGATCGAGATACACACACCGTATGCCAAATAAATAGATACAGATACAGATACGGATAGTAGATAGTTGGCGATGCATTAACTTTTACTTACATAACTGCGGTAGGACGACATTACGTTGGTTTTGGCAACCGATTCTCCGGAAGATTATTCTCCGTCGTATTTATTGAAATAATTTTCAGGATTCTTATTTTGGGCTCCTTTGTCTGGTGGCTGATCTTGTAATCCAATCTGGCGAATACCCGACGCGACGTGCGAAACAAAGCAACTCGATCCACTGACGGCAATTACGAAAATGTATCTGGCGGATGCACATTGGGCGGTCGCCTCTCAATTGCAATAGATGCAAAATAAATTAGCTGCACTTACTGAGTCGGGGCGCGTGTGTGACAAATCTTCAGGCTACACTCTCCCTATTCTATCTCAATTTTATCGCATTTTATTGCCATCTGAATTTTCATTCTATCATCTGGGAGTCCCTTTTTTTTCTCAATTATTTGTTGTGTGTGTGTTTTTTTGCCGTGTGCCACTTTACATAATCCACCGGCACGCACCGACCGAGTATATACCAGGGATCTATACAGCTATCTGCGATCTACGATCTCCGATCTATTTGGGAATGCAGCCGGCAAATGCGACACGTCACGAGGCGTTTTATTTATGCCTTGATATTTTTCTTATTTTCCATCTCCATTTCCCTTACGGCGGCGAGCGCATCACTTTTGCTTTTATTTTAATTTACTTTGGGAGCGGGCACAACTTAAATTGTTATTTATAAATTTAGCAACATTCACTCGCACACCCAACCGAACCACACCGAACCGAACAGAACTGAACTGAAAGATTTTGTCGCATGCGAACGCGATTTTCATTCCTTTTATTTTTTTCGAAATTCTCAGTTCGGTCTTTTTTTTCTACGGTTTTGGCCCAAATCCCGTATCCGCTATCCGCATCCGTCGGACTCGAGGCGTGTGCGACTCGGCGCGTTGTCAAAGGAAAACTGTGTCTGCCAGCTACTGAAAATACTTTCTGAGTGCTGAGATTTTCCTCGGCGCCGAATTGCGTGAAAAGCTGAGCGGGAAGAGACTCTCCCACGGTCGTGGGCCATGGGTGTGCGTGTTTATATTTTCGGCAAGCGAGAGACCCGGAGAATCTCTCGGAGAATCTGCCGCCGATCGCTCCGTTTTCTAAATTGCAATAGGAAAATGCAACAAATAAAGAATCAAAACATACTCTAATCCAAAAGTATCATCATTAGGATGTTAAATAGACATAATACTTAAAAATATTATCTTGATGAAAATAAAAGTATTTATTACAATTCTCAGATAGAGTTTCTTAGAGACTTTCAATAATTTTTATTTATTATCCTTTCTTCTAAATAAGAACAGTATAACCAACTCAATTAAAATTAATTAAAAATTGTAAACCAAAAATAATTCAAACAAAGAGCGACATCCGAGGAAACATCGAAGTATCCAACTCATTTTTCGTATCTTATTTTGATTCCCGTATGTATCTGCTCCCCATAAAGATCTGACAGAAATCGGCCAACAGGCTATATGTAAGTACATATAATACCACCTTCTTGGCTTCAACTATTGCAATGTAAAGAAAGAAATTCTTGTAATGCTCATAAAATTCAACTCGAGAAGTATTTTGCATTTATTTAGACTCCTTCATTCCAATGCAGATATTTCGAACCTATTATTAGATAAATAATTCTATTTACATATCTTTCGGTGACTAATCGATGAGTGGGTGTTGGGTTGGAAGCGAATATGCTATCCAGAAAATAGAGACGCCACAAATATCTTGCTGCAAATGATAATTGTCAGCTACAGATACAGATGCAGTCTGTCATGTTTTTTATGAATGAGCGACAAGATGGGGTCTACAACCTGAAGTTGAGGTGTCCCCAAAGATTATACTTGAGAGCGGAAGGAAAATGAACACTCATTAAAAAAATGAGCTCAGTAACGTAAGTTTTTTTATTCTTCTTAAAAATGTACAAACTTTTCTAAAAAAATTGTCTGGTAAGTCCCAAATTCGAAATTCTATAGAACCTCCCCGCTAATTTAGCCTCTGCCCTCAAACGAACTTTTAGGTTCATCGAATACCCAGGCCATATTTCACAGCCTCTCATATCTTGCAGATCATACGTCGCACTATATGTTGATATTCGTTCTGGTTGTTAAAAATAAAAATCTGTGTGCCACTTTTGCAGTTGCCACTGATGCTGTGATGCCGGCAGTGCCCACCGGAAACGTGCGGCTAAAAAAGATGACGTCTAAACACGAAATAAAACGGCCATTCTTCTGGCTTTACTAAAAACATTTAAAACTAAATATGCGCAAAATGCCAAAAACCATTCAAGTGAAATGGTTTAACCTCCTAGATCCCCCACCACCCAGCCCCATTTCTCCCATAAATCAGAATGCGCGACAAAGATGCTAAATTACTAAAGAGGGGGGCCGGAAAAACAAAGAGGGGAATATCCAAAACGCCATCAATGGGCTAATAGCCAGCGGCCCCTCGGAAAAGTGGCTCGACACTTTGACGAAAGACATACAGCTAGTGCAGGGCGGGGGCGGCAGTGTCTTAACCCAATCTGACCGACAGATACAAATAGCTTTCAGCGATGCATTAAAAAATATAAAAGATCCACAACAGGCGTGCATTTCGCATGCTTTCCACAAATATTTTCCCCGGTGCGTGCTGCCACTGGCGGCAACACCAACGCCAACGCAACTTAGACAACAAAAAATATAGGAAGAAAATAATCCGAAACCCCAAAAAGCTGAACAAACTGAATGCAAACAAATCAAGAGGAACGGCACAGAAACGGATTTTTTGGGCTGGCAATAAAAAGAAATACACCGACAGCCATAAAAGTCAGAAGACCCCGGCAATCCCCGGGAGCAACGGCGAGGTGCACCGCGCAGTCGGTCAATCATGTTGGCCAGGCCAGTGTGCCTCCTGTCCTGTAAGAGATGCACTGAGGAAAAAGTGTAGCTACTAAAAAATAAATAAATTAATAAACTAGGCATAGAATTTGTTAAGCTTCTACCAACCTATCAATCTAATAATTTTTAAAAAATCAAATCTTTAACAATTTTCCTGTAAATATTATTATTATTTCTTCCTGTGCCTGCCCTGTGGCTCCCATGGGAAACGATCTGCAACTCCATCTTCGCATCCGCATCCCAGTGGCCGAATCTCTTCTGGGCCTTTCAATCATTTTGGAAGATTTTCAAATTTGTTATTTACGAGTGTGTCGGCGGTCTTTCTTTTGGGGGCGTGCCTTCAGCGACAGATTATGCAATGACGCGATGCACACACTAGTTAATAAAACGAATCAAGAGGGGGATCCGGACTCCTGAGGCAGATGCGATTTGTTTGCGTGCCCATATAACACAATAAAAGCCAAGGAAATTGTTTCTTTTGAGCAAGGAGGGAGGAGATGCAGTCCCAAGTGGTAGCTCTCCAGATGAAAGATACATTGCATGAATAAAATTAATAATAGTAATCCAACAAAGAGGGAAACATTTATTGATTTATGTGGCTTGGATATGAAAAGTTAAGCTTCTTAATTTATGCGGTCTAGCTATCATTGCAAAGTGTTAATCCCTATTCAACAGGTATTAAACATAAAAAGCTTTATAATTCTTGGTTCAGATAATGAATCATAAAAATATTCAGAATTTCTTCATACTGTTCCCATGTCATAGCTAAATACCACATAAGCCCACAAAATTGCAGTTAATAGATTTTTATTTATGTTTTGTTAACATTTTTTTATTTACATCTCATTTTCCGCTCGACTGTCGACGGATGGAACATTGCCTCATTTTCCTTCTTTTTTTCCATAGCTAGCCGGGTGTGCTAATATTTAATTTAAATATTGTATTTCTCGGCTGGCACAGTTGCTGTTCTTAACCAGCCCCAATCTTGCGGCGTGTTGCAATCTTCTAGCGGCTGTTGTTTGCTTTTTCCCGACAAGTGTTGTTGTTTGGGTTCCTCCGGCCCCGATTTACTGCGGATTTGATCGCCGTTTCAAGGTTGCACTCTTGTTTGAAATGTGTGTGCCTGGTCTCAAGTATTTCTTCGCTTTGCTTTCAATGGATATATTACGTATACGCATTGCGTATACGCCCTGGGCACCAGTGGCTCTGCTTCTCTGATCGATCTTAATCGCTTGCAGCCTGTTGATTTTTGTAGATATTCGCTTTCGGTATGAACCGAATATCATCAGAGTATATCAGAAGCGCCGATAGTCATCTGCTTCCGTTTGAAGTGTTTTATAATTCGATTTGGCAAGCACTGACATTTTCCAAGATTTACTAACAAGCGATTACAAAACGTAAACAATAGAAATTTATGGAGGTTGCGTGTTGCCATAATTTTCCTAACCAAAATCAAAATATTTTTATTTACCCGCCAAAATAGCAAAAGCTTTTATTTGAAATAGTTTTGAAAACTTTTTGGCAAGAGTTGCCAACATGAAAGGTTTTTGTATTTCTATATATAATTCACGAAAGAGATTGGCGAAAAATGCGACGAAAACAAAATAAGAAGTTGAAAGGCAAAGAGCTCACAGAAATGCGAAAATAAATCGCAAAAAAATAAGTTTCTAAATAATTGTGAAATTAAAACAGCTTGAAGTCTCTAAAAAAGTATGTGCAATCAAAAAAGATATAAAAACTTTGAAATAAATACAAAATATTAACCATTTAGGATTATGGCTCTGCTTTTGGTGCACCTGAGGCGGTTGATTCTCTTACTAAGTGTCGTCTACCTGAGCGGATCTGTATTCCGCCGCCTTCTCACCGAACGGCATCACGCATACGCCCTGAAGTCCAACGGATTCTCGGGATTTGGTCGTCTTCGGGGTGGCCACGGGGGACTCAAAGAGCCCTACCACTTTCAATGGTGGGCCTATATTTATACTTGTTATGGCTACGCCGTTTTGGTTAACTACGTCAGCATGCAAAGACTTACTAATTTGATAGAATTTTTCTTTCAGTAATCTACACAATTTATGCAGTCTTTGAAGAAAATTATGAAGTTTAATAAATAAGGATTTTAAATAAATACTATATATTTTTTTTTTTTTCATTATACTTTTATAAAACCATGAAATATATTTTACCAATTTACACACTCTACATTCTTCTAAACAGATTCTTGTGGCGCCATCTACATCTTGCGCTCTGCAGTAAATGGTTTGTGTTTTGGATAAAACTCAACAAGATATTATTTTTCGGATTATTTTATTTGTTTCTTGTTTAAAACACCTTATTCAAGTTTTTATGAAATTTTTAAACTATTCTTTAAATGTATTATGTATTCTATTGATTTTCTATTTTGTTTCTAACCAAGAATCTCAACTTCCGATGAAACCACAGCTAAGTATATTTTGTTTTAATTCAAAAAATATTTAGCACAATTTCCACACACTCAAAGAATTTTAATTTATTTTGTCAGATAAATATTTGCGGCAATAATTAAATTTCGATTGCATTTAGAATCATGGGGCCAAAATATTTTTGATGATTAATCGTTTAGGCAGAGAAAAATTTTATATTTTTAAGCAATTCGAAGTCTTATTTCCCTTTCCTAAGACCTAAACTAAGAAAATCGTATCAAGTTCTGATTATTTTTCTAAACAAATAAAATCATTTGATTACTAAGCATAAAAACATCAATAAACTCGCTGACAAGTTGCCTTTAAAAGTTGATAGAACTCAAATGGAAAATATTTCTGTCATCAGTTCATTTCATTGGTAAGATCAAGAGGCAAGAAGAAAACTGTCTATGTGTAGATACAGATATATGGCCAAAAAGTATAAGTAGTAGTTGCTTTATTTTGGTTTTCTATTTATAAAATCAGTCTATTCATAAACAGATTACGTTCATCCCGTGTATTCGGTATTGCACAATCGAAAAGGTGTTATAAGCATTTAATTTATTAAAAAATTGAATGGATACCTGTAGATATAAGTTTGCTATCTAGTGAGGTACATGTTTGAGGTATATTAGATGGACTATTTCATGCCTTCATGCACCCACCCAAACCATATATCTTCTACTAGATATATCTGTGAATGTTTTGCCGTATTTTTCATCCGAGTGACTCAGAAAGACACGTCACAGGCCCGAATGTCGAATGGTTCTTGTGGGTGCCGTACAAAAGATACAAAATCCCAGATTTGTCAGCCACAAATTTCCACGGGCCGTACAATGGCTATTGACATTATTAGAGCACAGTTTCTGAATCATCCGGGATTGGATAATTGAAAGTTGTCAACGCCAAACGGCAAATGGAAAATGGGAAATTTTTGCAAACCGGGAAGTAGAGTGGCACATTTTTTCGGGGAATTGTAATGCATTAGAGCCTTGGCTGTTTGTTTTTGAAATTTGGATGCATTAAAGATCTATTTTTAAATGGCGTCTCAATGGGAAGTAATCCACCAACCACCACCCACCTAGTTGGCGCCCACTTGAGCTTATCTGGCAGATACTTAACTCCGGCGAGAGGAGTATCTTGCAGAAAGTGGCTGCCGAACGGCGGAGATCGGAAAACGGAGAACGGAGAACACTTGTCAAATGGGCACACCAGGAGGAGAAGCCATCACCGCCACCACCACACCTCGAACTAGCTGAAGTCGAGAGTCTATATATAACACACTGCACAGCAAGGCATCCACAGTGCTTTCGATTGTACGGGTGTGTGAGTGTGTATCTGTGATCATAACAATTTTGACCCAATTTCCGTGTGCTGGCACACACATGAAACATGAAAGAAACAGAAGACACACGATGCGATGGTAAGTGATTTCCCCCTTAAAAAAATGGGATTCGGTGGCTCAGGGGGATTGCGAGAAACTCCTGTCCCTGTCCCCATCACTGACCTCAGTGCAGCTGTAAAATGATGGGCAATGGGCCGGAAAACTCACAGACACCTACCTCTCAGCCAGAAGAAAAGCCATCGAAATGGGATTCTTCCTTGGGGTCTTTGGGGTTTCGGGCATGAGTTTTTTGGGGAGGAAATCTTTTGACAAAAAGGTGTCGTTGGCTGGTTGTCTGGCTTGGTTCTATTTTGGGCTGACTTATTTATCGGCAAATGGCTTGCTACATATTCGCCAGGTTATTTTTAAATTATTACACATTCCAAAATGTGGCAAACACACAAAATGTTAAATACATTCACTCGCAGAAGCGGCAACATTGTATATATACGTGCATAAAATAAATAAAGTTATGGCCAGCTAGCGCTAAGTATCTAGAAGATACCAATGCGAACGGAGCAAAAAACTTGGATATATATATATATATATATGTAGTTATATGTATGGTTGGTTAGCCCATCTAGATCTATATAGCCTCTCAGGTGAAATGTGTGTGGAAAATGAACATGATTATGAGCAGGCAGAAATTCGGTTGCTAAAAATAAGCGAAAAATCATTTTTAAGTATAGCCGAGTGGATGTGTGTGGAGCACAGGTGGAGGAGATCGTTCGGAAAACGAGAAAAACCCGAACTAAGCACCCATTTTCACTCAAAAGCTCGGGGGCTCCTTTGGAAAACTGAGTCAAAGGCACCACAAATCTCACTCAATGTGTAACGAAATGGTTTAAACAGAATCAAATACATATATATTTACTATATGCACATGGAATGTGTTGTCAGTTGCCAAAATTCAGATACATATATGTACGTGCAGAGGCAGTCACCTATGTGACCACCGAATAACAATTGTTAGATGACAACGCATTGTCTGAGGCTGAGCAGACTGTTCCGTTCGCATTGCCAAGGATTCACTCAAATCTGTATATTTTTGTTTATACTGCACACACTATTTCTACGCTCTCTACGCCTATTTATTTATTTATGCTGGCAAATAACACGTTTCGATGCCAAAAGTCAAATATTTTTAGACCGCATTCGTATGTAATCCTAATTGGCTTTTAGCAAAAAGATCACTTAAATGCATATCATAGAAAAAATGACACTTTTTGGGAAAATTCTGACGGCTTCGAAGCTTGTGATACATTTTCTATATTAATTGGCTAAAAGTGGGGTAATTTATCTCAATAAGAAACATTTAAGGTTCATTAAGAAATACTTTGGTTTAAAAGAGCTCTGAAAAATATATTATTTTTTCGGCCAAACAAGTCACGTTATTCTGCCTATTATCGTTCATTTTTGTGCTTTATGAACTCAAGACTTAAAAAATAAACATTTTAAAGCTTAACCCCAAACATCTATCACTAAACTACGTGCTGGAAAATTGGTTTGGCGAATTCCGTGAAAGCAAACAGAGTAGATAGTAGTCCATTTCGAGTTACAACAAAAGCGAGCCAATAAATATAAATTATGAACTTTATGATTGGCCAAGAAGATGCCAAATATTTCGACATGTCTTATATGTACGGGCGTGAATCGGGGGGAGAATTTATGTGTAGATACATTCTGGCCAGACGCTAGATACACAAAATGAAACGCATGGCCAGAAGAGCAAAAGCCAGAACCCATACCGAGGCACACAAATGACACAGGCTAATTACAGGTAAGCAAAAGAAAAGCAAAGAAATCGGTGCGTATACGTAATTTTTTTTCTCGTGAGTTGAGTTTTTTTGAGTTTATTTTCGTTGGGGCCAAAAAGTAGCGTGAAAATGCGTTCACACACAACTAAAACTAAAACTAAAAAACGGACAAAATCAAAGAATGTTCCACACAACTGAGCAATTAACACACAACACGAAACGGCCGTGTGAAAAGTCACTCAAAAATACGCACTCACTGCAGAGTATCTGACGGATAGATGGGTGGATGGATAAATGGATGGGGGAAAAAAGTATCTCAAAAAGCCCCAAAAGACGAGGCTGGGCCGAATTGGGCCGAATTTTCACGAAGGGAGCCGATCGGTGAAAGCGAGGAAATCGTTGAAATAGACGAAAACACCACCGACCAGCGACCAAATCAACGAAATACTCTTTATTCGAACGACAACGGGATCTCTTGTTCAGTAGATCACCAGCCTTACTCCGACGTTTATTACGAATTTTCTCGGTGACTCGGTGACAACTACAATACTGCGTGCGGTGCTGTAGAGATTTTCGCTTGGGAGGAAAATACATAAAAAATCTATTTTATTTTAATCGCGATTTCGAACGCGAAACGATCGCCATATCAACTCTAAATATTTGAAAATCTGACTAGCAAAATGTCGTCATCGCAAGCTGTCCGCTCCTCGAAATACTCCTACCGGGCCACATCCACTGGACCCGGTTCGGCCGATGTCCAAATCGACTACATCCAGGACCTGAGCTCGCTCTCCCGCTTGGAGGTAATAGATCTATCGGATATATTTCAAGGATATTTCAATCCAATCCGATCGATTGGGAAACTTTTAAATGAAATTTAAAAACCAGAATGCGTGTGCGCCAAATTCTACAAGAATCGGCTCTCGTTCTCTTCAATCTCGGTGTGTCTGTGTAGAGACCAAAAATTAAGAATCAAGATAATAGAAAAAAAAAACAAAATAAAAAAAAAACGTAAAAAATTCATCTACACTTTATATCGAATGCACATATATATCTGAGATATATATTCGTGTGTTAAGTTCTCGCCGCGGTCTTCTCAGTGTGTGGAAATATAGAAATATCGTTGAAGAAAAATTCTAGATGTCTATATGTAGCTATACGTGCTTGTATATACATATGCATTGCTAAAAATTATGTAATACCACCTCCGAGCGATACGTTCATACATATATCTTTCAAAGAGTCGAAAATTAAAAAATCGGAATACATATATTTTTGTGTAGAAATCAATCCTGTGCTTATAGTGCTAATGGCAACGATAAAAATATGAAATATTTATAAAATAAAAAAATATATCTAAATAAAATTCAACGTTTTCTTGCAGGACAAGATCCGTTTGCTCCAAGATGATCTTGAAGTTGAACGTGAGCTGCGTCAAAGGGTGAGTCTATCTACACTATATTTTAAGATGGTAAAGGGGATATGGGGATTAGTAGTTAGAGAGCTAGAAAGATATGACATGCGGAAAACTTTCACCGGAAAATCTTGGGTGGAAAATACATTCCCCGAATCGCAAGCGCCAGGGCAAGTGATTCTCACTTTTGTCGCACTTCGCAAATGTCACCCTAAAAACAGCAGAAATATGTGGAGAAGCAAACCAAAATAAAGTCAAAATAGAAGAACCACTAGAAGAACCGATAGAAACGCAGCAAACAAATGCAATTTGTTGGTAGAGAGCAGCCGGCTAAGAATAAACTACCCTTCGACTACCACAGAGTTCTGAAAGCGTGAAAGTAAATGATAATGATGTGCATTGAACTTCAATCGCTTTGATAAATGATTTTTCATTTGGCTTTGCGAAAAGAAATCAAATAGACCGCTGTCTTTGCAAACACAAAACAGAAAGATAGAAAAGTCTGAAGAGGGAAAGCCGGGAAAACTAAGAAAGTGCCGAAAGTGCACTTCATTCAGTTGTATTGCCTTTTTTTTGTTTTTTAAATATATTTCTTCACATTACAAATTTAGAAAATGCGGCCCAAACGACCGGGGCGCGCGCGCATCTGAAAGATGTCCGGATCGGAATCGGGATGGGAATGGGATGGGTTGGCCAAGAATGTGTGCTTTATATTTTGTTGGAAAATAACTTTAATTACTCTGCTTTATGGATTAACACACCAGCGCTCGTACATAGATACTCAGACTCATACTGCCACAATATGGAACAAAATGGCTAAAATTAGCGCACGACATTCAATACACAGAAGCGAATGATTAACTTGAAAACAACAAGAAAATATGAACAGCCCGTTGGGAAAAATCGGAAAGGAAAAGAAAAGAAAATAAAGTAGCCAAAATGCCGTGTTGTCATAGAGAGGATTTTCTCTCGGGAAAAACGGGGAGATACGAATGAAAATTCGCTCAACCGAACGCACAGCTGAATATCTCTTCTCTACATATATCCGTGTGGGTGTTTGTGGGAAAATTAAATAATTTTCATGCACATTAAAAGTTTTCACACACCGCCTGGCATCTATATTCTCGGATTCACGTATGCATATAGGCGGCAAAAAAAATCAAACATGTATCTACAAGATACATATGGCGAAAATGGATTTATAGCCCGAACCTACGTGGCCTTTGTGGCAAGCAGCACCCATTTTTGTTCTGCCAATTGAATGTACAAACATATGTTTGCCTATAGGTACAATCATAAACCTAAAAAATGTCTTTTTGGCTTATACTAGTGGCTCCAAGAGGCAGAAATTCCTAGGCATTTAGAACAAAGCCCTCGTAAAATTCCATTTGATTGCGATTCGCAAAATCGAGCGAAACGAGGTCGAAATGCAAATGTTTAGAACATCAAAATGTTTCTATTCAGGCGAAAAGCCGTTCAAATGCCTTTTTGGAAATGCAATATTTAGGAAAGCCAACTTTGCCGCCCACTGCCCACCAAGAGATATATCTTCGGCGAGAATGCAATCGCAATCGGACTATATGGATAGTACACCTCGCTGCGTGGAAGATTTCTTGGCATGATGCCATTGTTATTTTAGGTGTTGCATGTGCATAATTATTTTTGACTGATTAATGTGATTTATAATTTTTATTATGGGCGGTTTGGATTGCTCATAGAGCATGCTATCTGCAGGTTATTTATAGTTTTCCTCCTAATATTTATCTCTTATGAAATATCCTCTAATTGTCGAAAATATATATTCCAGATCGAGCGCGAGAAAGCCGACCTCAGCGTTCAGGTCATCCAGATGTCCGAGCGTCTCGAGGAGGCCGAAGGTGGTGCTGAACATCAAGTAAGACTTTCGAATAGCTAGCCCCAGATTCAAATTTAAAGCATACTTTTCTGCGTTTTCAGTTTGAAGCCAACCGCAAGCGCGATGCTGAGCTGCTGAAGCTGCGCAAGCTGCTTGAGGATGTTCATCTTGAATCCGAGGAGACCGCCACGCTTTTGAAGAAAAAGCACAACGAAATTATCACGGATTTCCAGGAGCAACTTGAAATCCTAACGAAAAACAAGGCTAGGTAGGCACCACACCCCCTCTAACCGAAACCATTGACCTAGAATTCGTAGGCCCAAAAAAACCAAAACATATCCATCCTGAGCTGTCATGCATCCGCTTTAGCACACTTTTTTTTTTTTTTTGGATATTTACTTTCTGATTTTTTGAGAACAATAATGATCAAATAGCGTCAGCTGGCGAACTCGGACATTTCAATGTCTCCAGATCTAGATCTCAATATCTAGATCTGTAGATCTCGTGCAGTAAGCCGTGTAACCTTGCGCTGCCCCGTTGACCCAAAATCAACAAAAATCCAAAAGAGATCATAAACAATTCATCAAAATGCCATGACAAGCGAAATGGCATAAAAAAGAAAACATAAAGTTGCATGGCTTGCAAGTTCTATTGACACAAATTGTGGTAACAAAATAAAGAAAAATATATAGGCAAAAAGCGAGAAACTTTCGGTTGCTGCCCGCCTCTCATATTTCCAAATCGAAGCGAGCGATTTCCAAAAATAAATTCGGAAAGAATGTTGAAATCGTTCAAGCAATTCAAGGTTATAACTAGATATTAAAGTACATTTTTTTTATTATTTATTATTTTACAAAACAATGAGGCTATTAGTTTAGCTTTTCAGTCAAGATCTTGAGCCTGTTTTTAGATAAATCCCTTAGTTAGAACCTTTGTATCTTTGAGATACCAAAGGTGCGCCCGAGTTTGCGCACTTCCGCTTGTAGAGAGAGACAACAGAACGATCAAGCAGCTGTCCCTTTTTAGCGAAAAGCTTTATAAGCTTTTTCCTTCTTATTTTTTGTTGTTGGTTGGCGAAAACTTTCTTCCATATGTTCTGGCCTATACCACCTATACCAACATAGCATCTTTTAGCCACAAGCGGGGCAATCATTTTTTTTTTTTGTTTTTGTTTTGGGGGAAAATGTATTTATAGAAATTTTGAAATTTTCATCTACATTCTTGAGCGGAGAGGCTCTTTGTTTTTGTTGTTTCGCTCTCTGTATTTCTCGTTCGCACCAACGCCCCAACCCAAATATGTCTTTGATTGAATCATATACAAAAATGTGTTGATTGTTTTTGTTGCTGTCCCGTTCCGTCCCGTCCCGCTCGGGTATTATGGAAATTCGATACGTTTTCTGGCTCTTCGCCCACGCCCCTGGCCCCCGGTCCCCTCGTTCAGGGGGCTGAGTGGTGGGAAAGGTCGTGCCCCAGGACAGGTGCAACTATTGGGCCAAAGCCTTGAATTGTTTCTACAAATGTAAACCGAGGTCGAATTGATCTTAAAATTGGGAAATCGAATTTTAATTGCTTTCAATTGAAAATACAAATTTAAAATATATCTAAAAAGAGTATAGATTAGAGGGCCTTGCAAGAGTGATCTATGTTTGGCACATATTTTATTTTTTTTTAGACTTCCATTGATCTTAGATTTAAGATTATGTTTTTTCAAAATGGAATATTATCGACAAATGTTACATGTTATGATATAATCCACAATTGTAGTCAAGCCTCCAATTAACCTTTAACCCTTTTAGTTCAAGCCTAATCATTTTTGCAGCCAATTATCATAGCTTGCTTCCAGGCTATCCTAAAACCCGGCCTGCTTAGTCTTTGGCCACCAATTTAAGGTCGAAAGTCCCTATAATTGCTGGCCAAAGATTGGCAGATCCCTTCAAGCTTACAGCCCGTCTCCGGCGGAACTCACATGCCATGCCATAAGTATCCAAAAACAGAGACAGAATCCAATACTAAATTGGAGATTCGTTTTCCCAATCCGAATGTTTGCAGAGCCGAGAAGGACAAGGCCAAGTTCCAGGCCGAGGTCTACGAACTGCTTTCCCAGATCGAGTCCTACAACAAGGAGAAGCTCGTCTCGGAGAAGCACATCTCCAAGCTGGAGATCTCGATCACCGAGCTGAACGTGAAGATCGAGGAGCTGAACCGCACCGTGATCGACATCAGCTCGCACCGGTCCCGTCTCTCGCAGGAGAACATTGAGCTGACCAAGGACGTCCAAGATCTGAAGGTCCAGCTGGACACGGTGTCGTTCTCCAAGAGCCAGGTGATCTCCCAGCTGGAGGATGCCCGCCGTCGCTTGGAGGACGAGGACCGTCGTCGCTCGCTGCTCGAGTCCTCGCTGCATCAGGTTGAGATCGAACTGGACTCAGTTCGCAATCAACTCGAGGAGGAGTCGGAGGCCCGCATCGACTTGGAACGTCAGTTGGTCAAGGCCAATGCTGACGCCACCTCCTGGCAGAACAAGTGGAACGCCGAGGTGGCGGCCCGCGCCGAAGAGGTTGAGGAGATCCGTCGCAAGTACCAGGTTCGCATCACCGAGCTGGAGGAGCACATCGAGTCCCTCATCGTCAAGGTCAACAACCTGGAGAAGACCAAGACCCGCCTTGCCAGCGAAGTTGAGGTCCTCATCATCGATCTGGAGAAGTCGAACAACAGCTGCCGGGAGCTGACCAAGTCTGTCAACACCCTCGAGAAGCACAACGTCGAGCTGAAGAGCCGTCTGGATGAGACCATCGTCCTGTACGAGACCAGCCAGCGCGATCTGAAGAACAAGCAGGCCGATCTCGTCCGCACCGTCCACGAACTGGACAAGGTCAAGGATTCCAACAACCAGCTTGCCCGCGAGAACAAGAAGTTGGGAGGTGGGTGTGGCTTTTTTAAAAATCTTTTTCATATTTTTATTTAATATTATCTTAATTTTAACCTTAGATGATCTGCATGACGCCAAGGGCGCCATCAACGAACTGAACCGCCGTCTGCACGAACTGGAGCTGGAGCTGCGTCGTCTGGAGAACGAGCGTGATGAGCTGACCGCCGCCTACAAGGAGGCTGAGGCTGTAAGTGTTCCTCCCAAAAAAGCTTAGATATCTTACTAAAATATATTAAATATTTTTAAAAACAGGGCCGCAAGGCTGAGGAGCAGCGTGGACAGCGTCTGGCTGCTGACTTCAACCAGTACCGCCACGACGCCGAGCGTCGTCTGGCCGAAAAGGATGAGGAGATTGAGGCCATCCGGTAAGTCAATCCCTAATCCATAATTCCAACCCCCCTTGGGAAGTTGCCTACGTCTCTGACTTATACAAACAAACAATATCAAGGCTGCTTTCCCTGCCAAAGCGGAAGCAACTGATAAAAAAAAAATAAAACAAAAAGCAAGGTTCTTCGATTGGGGATCGAATGGGAAATCAATCGATAGTGCCTCGATCGCTGCCAACAGACAATTGATGGCTAACTGACCCATTTAGTATTCAGTTCGAGTTCTATAGTCGCGGGAAAAGCAACGGCATTAGTTTTCTACCGAGGAGCCAGGCAAAAGATCCTGGGACACCAACGTTGAAAGGCTCAGGAAAGAAGTGGGTTTGGCAGAAGAAGCTATTTTTTAGCAAAATATTCTTGGCAATACTTATGGAATTTTATGAAAATTTCACTTTAGAAAATTGCGCAGTTGCTGCGATTACACAATCATTTGTGGAAAACAAAAAGAGCTCTATAGAAAAAGGATTATCCGGCTTATAACTTGAGGATAAGCAAGAGGTAGGTGGGCATATGAATATGGCAGTGAAGAAATGGCAATGTTTTGGCTTTGATTGATGAATAATAATATATGACAGTGACTTGTGATTTAAAATAAGAAGCTTAGATTTATTGAAGCTCTCTATAAGCTTGATCTCTTCATGATTTCAAGTCTGTTTGGAAAAAGGATTTTCAAATAAAATTTAAAAAAGTACTTCTACTTATTTTATTCAAGTATCTCTCAAGATCTTGATTATTATAATTTCTATTTGTTTTTATGAGTCTATTGCATAAAATTTTAAGACATTATGACATTGTCTATGAAACGTATGCCAGAATGAATCAATCATAGCCCCACATTGACTGCCAACGGCAATGATCTTAATGATAATGGTGATGTAGTATTGTCGTCATTATGATCATACCTTGCCCGATGCCAACAGCTGAACACCAAGTGCTCTGAACGAAATGCAATCTTTTTATAGATTTCGACAAATTTGAAAATTTATTTGCTGCCAACCGAGGGAAGAGTTCCGAGGAAAGAGCCGAAAAAAGCGACAAAGCCACAGAGCCACAAGGCGACAACCCCACAGCGAGGACCACTTTATTTTTTGTAGCTTTTAGTTTAGAGTACTCATTTTCATAGACCCCTGTCCCCCTCTTAACCCTTGACCACCACCTGCCCCAAAATGGCCCTAGCCCTGAAACAAAGACCCTCCCGCGTGCGGCATGCGACCACCTATGAGGACAACTATGGGTACACCATGAACTTCTACCAGCCGATGCTGGACTACTTGGACGCAAAGGCCAAGGGGCTGGAGGTGAAGCAGCCTCACCTGCCGTGGGTCAGCGAACGGGGCCTGAAGCAGTACCGTCCCTCGAACACGGTACGAAAATACAACGCCGACGAGATACTGCGACTGTCGCGCACCTGCGCCGCCCGAGCGGACGAGATTCTGTTAAGTTTTCGGGCCCAGAAACGCTCGCCGTTCAGTGTGCAGAAGCTCGTCGACGCAACGCGAGTGGCCAAGCACCTTGAACCGGACACAGTTGTCGAGAGATCGCGCCAGCGCCGTCGCCGCCGTCAAGAGGAGCTCGAGGATCTGATCAAGCGGGATACCCTTAAGATACTGCAACGCATCCGAAAGATAGAACTAGACAACGAGATCGATCAAATGTCGGACGACTTTAAGCGCCAGATACGCGGCAAGTCCGCCAGTGCCATTGCCCAGGCTCTGCTCTCGGAGTCCGAGCGGAACATCAAGACCGCCAAAAAGGAGGAGGAGAACTATATAGCCCAGACCCTGGTCCGTTCCAGTCGGGCTGTGTCGCGTGCTCGTTCGCGTTCCGGTTCGCCGCTCCTCGATGGCACCGTTCGCGCCCATACGCTCCACATCGAGCTGATGGACGATCGGCTGGTGGACAAGTTGGACCACCAGGTCTCCTCCTCGCTCCACAACGTGAAGCGCCAGCTCTCTACGCTGAACCAGAAGACGGTGGAGTTCTACGCGGACAGCAGGTGTGGTATTCAGGATAAGTGTTGGATTTGCCGCAAGGTCTTGCGCACCCATCCCAAGCTCCATGACTATAGTTATATCTATTGGCAGCACTAGGGTCCTTGATACTTTCTTACACCCTAGTCCCAAGTCCTATTCCTGACCAACCTTTCCGTCATCCTCATTTCATTTTTAGGTATGATGAATCCAAAAATCCAACAAAAAAGACAATAAAAACTATCTAAAAGTTAGTCCTTGAATATCAAAATTGCGTGGATATATCTTTAGGGTTTTAATGTCATATATACATTATAGAATTTGTCAGTTATCGGAAATCATTCCATTTTCCAAGACCATCTTGATAAAACTTGGTCAGCCTCTATCATCACCAATATGATCTATTTCCTAGTATAGCCCCCATCCGGGACATTTTAAGCAAAATGTGCACATTTTTGAATTGTGAAAAAATTGTTTTTGCGAATCCTAGACCACCTCCCACTCCCCTGGCCCCTCATACCCAACTATCTGCCATCTCTATTTGTCTATTTGTCGTTTCTTGTCTGGCACAAAATTTATTTTCGTTTCTAGAGTTTTCTTGCGGCTCGCAGTCTTGTTTTTTTTTCACTTCACCCATTGTGTCTGATGTGCAGCCTTTCGTAAATTATTTATATAGAATTATGCACAGCATTTCTGGCCACGGCTAAGTGCAGAAAATCGCCAAAAATTTGGCCATTAATAATCCACTTTGAGGGGCCAGTGAGAGAAATATGATTAAAGTATGGCTTTGATCGGCCGAGCAGATGCATTTAATTAGATTGCAAGAAGACGTAAATATTGATTAATATTGGCACTAAGCACCCATAGGATCTACCCTGATTTTCATTGAGAAGACTTTCTCTCTAAGAACTCAAAGCCTCTACATCCGATCATATTTCGCACCCACACCTCAGGTATTTCGGGGCTGTCAGAGTGATTTGCGGCACCAACTATTGTTTTGGGTCTGTCCTTCAAATTCGAAAAGATTTATTTTCAACTCAAGAACTGATGCGCATGACAGCAAAAACAATCAAGAAAAAAGTATTTGAAAAAAATACAATAAATACACCCAGCAAATATTTTTGCGTGAACATTGAAAACAATGGCGGAGGGTAAAAATTAAAATCTAAATGAAAATGCTCAAGTTTTTCAAGAAAAAGAGAAAACACTGAAGACAAATGCCTTGGCAAGGCGACAACAATGAGCACAGACAAGATTTTGGGATTAAGTAACCACGAAAAAAAGATATAGAAAAAAAATCTGTCGTATAATGAAATAGTACTAAGTCGGTAGCAATTTAGATAATATATTTATGATGGGGACTATTGTTATCACATTCATGCAGTATGATGGGAAGTATCACTTAGTTTTCCTAAACTATGTTCTTTAGAAAGCCATAGTCATATCATAATTATAATTTTGACCCACAAAAAAATTTAAAATTAAACTCAATTAGTAAAAACTGAAATACCTCTTGAAACCAATTTAGAAAGTGAATCAAACAGAGTATCAGAAATACAAACATTACTCAAATTTAGTTGGCAGCGTTGCAAGGCGAATGCACCTACAACCCAGAATAAACGCATGATGCACTTACCAACAAAAAAAAAATTAGAGAAAAAATAGAGAAATACTAGGGGCTAGAAGGAACTACTTAGCAAATAGTTTGGCATGGCAGACCCAAACTATTTGTGACAAGTTCGATGTCTTTATCATGCGTAAAAATACATCGAAATTCGCAGCCAGAAAAACAGCAATGATACAATGAAATGAACGAAACGATTTTGACAATGCCATCATCGTAAAAGCACCTGAGTGGCTGAGTGGTTTTGAGCTGCTGAGTGGTGCGAATTTGGTGGTGCACTACCCATTTTTGGGTCAGACATTGGGGCCAAAAATAGAGCCAGCCAAGCGAAACACCAGAGGAGGGTCATTGGAAGAGGTAACCTGCTTTTTTCGGGGCAACTTCCAAAGGGAACAATCTATCAACTATATAATGGGACTATTGCTAATCATATTATTGGATTCCACAGCAAGCAGACCTCCATTGAGATCGAGCAGCTCAATGCCCGCGTCATTGAGGCGGAGACCCGGCTGAAGACCGAGGTGACCCGCATCAAGAAGAAGCTGCAGATCCAGATCACCGAGCTGGAGATGTCCCTGGATGTCGCCAACAAGACCAACATCGATCTCCAGAAGGTGATCAAGAAGCAGTCGCTCCAGCTGACCGAACTGCAGGCCCACTACGAGGATGTTCAGCGCCAGCTGCAGGCCACTCTGGACCAGTACGGCATTGCCCAGCGCCGTCTGGCCGGACTCAACGGAGAACTGGAGGAGGTCCGCTCCCACCTGGACAGCGCCAACCGTGCCAAGCGCACCGTCGAGCTGCAGTACGAGGAGGCCACCACTCGCATCAACGAACTGAGCACCGCCAACGTCAACCTGGTCTCCATCAAGTCCAAGTTGGAGCAGGAACTGAGCGTTGTGGCCTCCGACTACGAGGAGGTGTCCAAGGAGCTGCGCATCAGCGACGAGCGCTACCAGAAGGTCACTGTGGAGCTGAAGCACGTCGTCGAGCAGGTGCATGAGGAGCAGGAGCGCATTGTCAAGCTGGAGACCATCAAGAAGTCTTTGGAAGTCGAAGTCAAGGTAAGCTTATGAGAAAACTATGTAGAATTCCCCCAGCTAATCATTTGTCCGTCCAGAACTTGTCCATCCGCTTGGAGGAGGTCGAGCTGAACGCCGTTGCCGGCAGCAAGCGCATCATTAGCAAGCTGGAGGCCCGCATCCGTGATCTGGAACTGGAGCTGGAGGAGGAGAAGCGCCGCCACGCCGAGACAATCAAGATCCTGCGCAAGAAGGAGCGCACCGTCAAGGAGGTGATGGTCCAGTGCGAGGAGGACCAGAAGAACATCATCCTGCTGCAGGATGCCCTGGACAAGACCACTGCCAAGATCAACATCTACCGTCGCCAGCTGTCCGAGCAGGAGGGCGTCTCCCAGCAGACCACCACCCGTGTGCGTCGTTTCCAGCGCGAACTGGAGGCTGCCGAGGATCGTGCCGATGTGGCCGAGTCCAACTTGAACCTCATCCGCGCCAAGCACCGCACCTTCGTCACCACCTCGACCGTTCCCGGATCCCAGGTGTACATCCAGGAGACCACAAGGACGATCACCGAATAGAGGGCGCTGGATTCATAGCCGCACCGATAACCCTATTCGATAATTGAATTTAATACCACGAGAGTCCCCGAAGATCACGACTTTCGAAGATTTTTGCAAAACATCATAAGAAAAAAAAACAAGCGAAAATGCGTGAAAAACTTTTTATAATTTAAATTTTTTTGTCATCGCCGAATGCCGGTTTGGTAGCGCCATCAAGACCCCCAGTGAATAGATCGGCATTGGGCTCCGTATAGGCTACACACTATAAATACATAACACTACACATCCTATCTATATAATAATAATACTATTTTGAAGTTCATGTAATTTAATTAAAATAATGAACCTGAAAACCTAAAAAACAAATAAAAACAAATCAACAAAAACTTGGCAGAGTTTTGTTAGCGATACAGAGAGAAAACGAGAGTTGGCTGAATAATAACATTAAACTTTATACTTAAATCTTTAAAAACCATTTAATAATCTGAAGAAACACGATATGGAAATTATGAAACCCACTAAGCAAGTCGAGTTAACCGAGTTACAACCGCTTCTACTATTTGTTTTTAGTTCACTTTATGTTTAGTAGGTAAATTTCTGTGTGCTCGTACCGAATTTCGAATTTTACATTAAAAGATAAATCACATCAACATGAAACTGAGCGAATTTCACATTTTTTACTTTGTATCTTGCAATAAAATTTAATTCTTAATCATAATAATAACAACTAATAAATTTTAAGAGAAAATCCATTTTACTAATGGGGGATAGAAAGTTTGGGTTCTGGTGGGGATTCAAATCTGTGGAGTTACTTTGTTAATAGTTGGAGGAAAACCCCACCCATTTTCAACAATAAAAGATCAGAATTTTTAATTTTTTTTCGCTTTAAGCTATCACTATTTATTAAGACTTTTTGAGCAATTAAAACAGGTGCTCTTAGACGGCAACGACCGCCAGTTTGGACTCGGTGTTGAGCTTCACACCCTCACCATAACCATATCCGCCTCCGTAGTGGCTCTTCTTGAAAGCTAGAAGAAGTTAAAAATAAATAAGGAAATTAGTAAAGCTAACAAAGAGTTTAGAGCCGAAAGAATACGCCTATAATCCGCACTTTTGATTTTCAATTAACTTTTAAAGTAACTTACTTGGGTCGATCTCAGCCACGAAAGAGCGTGGTGGCAGAGCAGCGGCGTAGAGCTTGTCCAGAGGACCATAACGCTTGGCCAACAGGGGCCTGCCCTGCTCCCATCCATAACGGTTGAGGGCATACCAGTCAGCACCGTCCAACTTGGCGGCGGAGGCAGCTGCTCCGGCGGCATTGGTCAGAGCAGAGGCCTGAGCCTCAGCGGTCTCGGCGGCCTTAACCACATCTCCGTAGCTGGCACCGTAGCTGGGACCGTGGCTGGGACCGTGGCCATAGCCGGGACGGTTGGCGGAGACAATGGTGGCGATGCAGCAGGTGGCAACCAACAGGTAGAGGGCGGAGCTGGACATGATGCTACTCGTATGCGGATTGGGGTATGGTGCGAGGAGCGGACTGTTTCGAAAACTAATTAACCAGAGCGTGTGTCCAAATTGCTTTTATAGCAAACACCATTTGAGCTGCCCGATTTGTGAGCTCACCAGACGTGACCAACCCGGCCACCACGAGCTGTCTTTCCCACTTTCGGGGGGCCAGCAGCAGTGGCATCATCTCCCCGACGCGTCTTTCCCAGCCTGATAAGGCCTCAGGGGCGGCGCTGGGGCTGGGGCTGGATCGTCTCCAATTTCTATGCTCATTGAAATTGCGCGCCAAATTGCGGTACCACCCCGCCCGCTCCCCTCCACGAGCCTCACTTCTTGGGCCCATTGATAGCAACTTCCCCCGGCTCGGCACGCTCCGCTGGCTTTTGGATTCTGGTATTATGTGCGGTATCGTTCTTTGGCCAACTCCAGCACCGATCCCCGCCAAACACGCATCGGAACTCGCCGATCAATGAACAACCTGGACACAAAAGTGTGTTGAGAACAAGGTCTATCAATACTTGAGATTTATCTTGATTCTCAATTAAAATATTGGGCATTATTATTTTACAAATTGTTTCAAATATTTGGCTTCTATTTAGCCACTAGGGCATGTTGCTCGTCACCTACCTGACTTCCACAGTGATTAATTTTTATGATAATTATTCAAAACATAACATCATAAAACTATTATAATAGTTTGATATTATTTGATTAAACATCTTAAATTATTAATAACAAACGATAGAAATTTCTAAGCCAAAAATATTCCCATATCTGGCTCACAATTCGTATTCAAGAATTCTTCACATGATTCACCGATTCAACGCAACTCGACTCGAATGTCAAGCGTAGATGGCCAAGAAATGGCCAAGAGTTTTCTGGCCCAAACAAAAGTCAGCACAGAACGGTTTGCTTACCAGCCAGAAAATCAGAAAACCAGAAAATATGCACAACAATCAGCGTATGTACAATATGGGGTCGAGAAATGAAGCCACTTACTTCTTTCTTGGCTTTCCCAGAGCCAGATTATTGACGACTGACCGAATAATTGAATGTTTATGTTTCTTTTGCGGCTCTAACTCGATTGCCGTTCGCCGGACGGAGACGAGTGATCTGGGGAATGAGCTCCGGCTAAACAAATCCGGAGCACGTTCGCCGCTCCAAAGCTCCACCAAACCCACTCAAACACATTCCCGAGTTGCCCGTTGGGAGCTGGCTATCAAATGAAATGTATTTCTTCCATACGATTTGAAGAGCAGCTGCAGCAGCTGGTGCTATATTTTGGGGCTAAGAAGGCCCCAAATATTGGAAAACCCAAAAAAGGTCTTAGATATTCCTTACTCTTGTTTCGAAGCTACAACTTAAAGTATAACTATGAGTTCTTGAGGCACAAATTTTTCAAAGACCATCTGCAAAGTCTTACTTTTTCAAATCAAAATTAAAACATTATAAATAGATTTTTTTTTCTTGATTTATTATTTACACGACCATGGATGAGATCAAGTATCCGCCCGGTTGTCGGCTGGGATTAAGTATCCGCCTAGTAACCGCGGGGACCCTCCTGACGGTAACCACCCTCCTGACGGTAACCACCCTGCTGTCCGTACTCGTTCTCGGGCACGAAAAGCTTGGCCACAGGGGCGGCGGGACGGATGGGCAGGATCACCTTGCTGTACTCTGGGGGAGAGACGTAGGCACGGTAGTTGTTCTGGCCGGGGTACAGCAGAGTGGCGCCGGCAGGCTGGACAGTCCAACGGGGGCCATAGCCTCCACGGTGGTAGTTGTTGTTGTGTCCATGGCCTCCATATCCGCCGGACTGGATGGGACCACGACGCTCACCGCCATAACCGCCGCCATAGCCGCCGCCCAGGTGGATGGGCCTCAGGATCTCGTGGCTCTGTCCATAACCACCACGGGGTCCGCCGGCAATGATCTCCACGGGGCGCTCATAGCCGCGACGTCCCTCGTTTCCACTGGCAGCAGCCGAAGAGCTGGCGGCGGAGGCAGCTCCGTTGGAGCTCTCCTGGCCGTATCCACCATGACCTCCGTGTCCGTGTCCGCCGTAGCCTCCGTAGTTTCCGTGGCAGGTGCCGACCAGGCAGGCACACAGCAGAATCGCCAGGGTCTAATGATCGATAGAAAAGGAAAATTAACATTTGAAACGTTCTCATTTTCGGAGACGGGAAGTGTTCATGGACACCTTGGAGGCATACTTACAGCGAACTTGTTCATGGTTATAATATTTTTTGGGGGGCGCTCGTTGCTTGGCACAGTTGGCACAATTAACAAATTAAATGGCAAGCACACTTCTTTTTATAAGCGAGTTTATTGTGGCACTCGAAACGTGATCTCGCCCAGAAATTTATCACGGATTGGCCGCTGAAGCTGAGCTCACTGAGCTGAGCAGCTCCAGCTAGCCGGGGGGAACTTTCTGTGAGTTTCTCGCGATGCTTTTCCCCAGCAGCCAGCGGTTGCTATCTTGGGTTTGGGAAGCTGGCTCATCCAAAGCTCTGGGGTCAGCTCACAGGTTGTTTACCGAAGAAGCAACTACCATGTGTCATCCGTATCATTGGGCTGTTGACCTTCGATGGGGGAGGTGGTCCAGATGTAGTCCAAATACTAATCCCATGCGTGAAGGCATTTAGGTTTAATAACCAATGACTGATGAGGCTTTAATGGATTGAGAGATGTGGGCTTTAAAGGGAGGGGTCTATAAGATTATTGATACTATCCATCCATAATATAGATTCTATTACATATCTATATTGGCCTATTTTATAGACCATTATTTCTTTAAGTATTAAGTATTACTTTAAGTATTACTTTCTTTTTAAGTTGGGTAGTTAATAGATAGTTGACTATACTTTTCCATTGTATTTAAAATACCTTGGATTGAAACCTACTTTGCATTACTATTTTGTGCCTGGAATACCACCCCAGGCCACCACCCACTCAAGGTCTTTATCCAGCTGCGCTGGAAAGTATGCCACACTCTCTGACACCCACTAGTTATAAAAGTTCAAATTGCAAATTGTTGTTCATCATTTTCCGTTTTTTTATTTGCCGGATTTCTGAGTTTCGCTGTCAAGACAGCCACTCGGAAAACTGAACAGCCAGTCGATAGGTTTCGATTTGATTTGAAACCAAGCGGAATTAGTATCCGCCGCGTCCATAGCCACCGTGGCTGGGGCCGTTGTATCCACCATCGACCTCGTAGCTGGGAACGACGAACTGGCGGTAGCTTCCCTGGTTCACGGCAGCAGCGGCAGAAGCAGCGGCGGCGGCGGCACGGGGCTGCTCACCACGGGCGACCAGAGGACGGTATTCGGGCTTGTATCCACCTTGGTTGTAGCCGCCATATCCGCCACGGATCGACTCGTAGGCCACCTCCTGTCCGCCGTATCCACCACCGTATCCACCATGACCGCCATAGGGGCTGGCGTTGATGTAGGCGAAGAGGGCAAGGCTGACGCAAACGAACTAAGGAAAGAGAAATCCAAGGATTAGTTGGGCTGTCCTGGGAGTCAAGGCTTGCTAACAACTTACCAGGTACTTCATGGTTAGTGCTTAGTTAGACAAATCAATCAAACTATGATTTCCTAGCCCGAAACGCCCGCTTTTATACGCAAAACCCAGCCTGGATATTTACGTGACCCATATACAAAAATATATTAAATAGTACTATAGAGTCTATAATGTTTTCATAATTGCCATCGAGTGGATTATACTCATATTTGATTTATGTATTTCCATGTACTTGTCGGGCCATTATAAAATCGCTTGGTTACGCGATGTTTGAATGTTCCATTGTTCCGGACTCAAGTGCCCGGGTCCGGTTCTACTAGTCGATAAAGTCGGAAAACCAGCACGCGACTCTCTCAAATGACTCGAGAACACGTTGTTTTCAAAAATTTCGATTTAGGAGTAATTATTTTTGTTGTAATGAACTTGTAGCTATTTCACATTCTTGGGGTTAATGGGTGGGTGGATCCGGAAGTCTATAGTGGGGGTTTTGGAACTAGTTTAAAGCGGTTTTTCAAAAGGAAAATAGGTCTAAAAGTTTGAAGATCAATAGAAATTATATATTTAATATTAAAACTCTAAAATATAGACTCCGTTTTAAAATTTATAAAGGTTAATAAGATAAACTTCATTAAAATAAGGCTTCATTATAAATTTCTAATCTTTCAGCCCTCAGAAAATATTCTCTAAAAAATTTCTTTTGGCTAAAATTTCCACCAAGAATAACCTCCCAAGTTGGTAGCAAGCTTGGCCAACTTATCACAGTTTTCTTGCCAACTTTCATTTACCATTCAGGCCCCAAAAATTTTCGCTGGCTCATATTACTGAAGCTCAAGCATTTCGGCCAAAAGCAACCCAACCCATATGCCCCATTATTCATAATATTCATATAGTTTAAGTCTCGAATTGTCGTGGCTTTTATTTATGGCCTAGTTCCTTAGTTTTAAAATGAGTCACTGTTCTTGGTTTCAGAGGATTTACGGATTAGTAGCCGTGCTTCTTGTAGCCCTTCTTGCCGGCAGCCACAGAGCTGGAGGCGGCAGCGGCGGAGGCACCCTGGGCCTCATCACCGTGTCCGTACTCTTGCTTGTGGTTGTACACGCTGGGAGCGTACTCGCGCTGGACGTAGCGAGGAGCCTCCTTCCAGAGTAGCGGCTGTCCGGCAGAGGGAGCAGCAAGAGCGAGCTTGGCCAGGGCAATAGCCTGACGATCGACTGGAGGAGCACCACCATATCCAGAGCCGGAGTAGCCAGATCCAACATTGGCGCCGCTGTAAGCCGAGGCAAGAGGAGCCGACTCGTAGCTACCGCCATATCCTCCTTGGTTTCCGCCATAGCCGCCTCCGTACGAGGGGATGATGGCCTTAACGGTCAAAGCAGGCTGCACCTGGTAGGCGTAGCCGCCCACCGGGGCGCCACCGTATCCTCCGCGGTTTCCGCCATAAGGACTCGCCGAAGCAGCAGCGATGGCGCAAATGCAAATGCACTAAGGGAAGATATTACAAGTAAGTATTCCGCCGGAAAGGATGCTTTTTGTTCCTGAGACTCACCATGAACTTCATCATTTTGAATTGGTTAGTTGATCGTTGAGAAGAAGGTAACTAATGTCTCTGGCCAACTCATCGTTTTGTTTTTATACGAAATCCAGGCAAACGCCCAACGCTTACGTGATGAATGTGATGCAAGTTTTCGGATGGCGGAGTTCCCGCTCCGGACTCTTTGTCCGCCAATCTTGAGACGCGTCGCCGGAGACGTGCAGCCAGGCCGAATCCACAACCAGAGCCGAAAAGCTGCCTCTCAATTCGGCCCCGGAGCTTCGGGGTCCAGATATCAGGCGTCTGCACTTACGCCATCGTCTGCCGGAGTCGAGACGAGCGTCCATTACGTAATTTTCACCCCAATTGCCACTGGTTCGTCCCACTGTGCCGGCACTGACACTGTTTATTCAGTGACACATCGAAGTCAAGGCAGTGGCCTGAACTTTCTGCTGCGTTGGTAGAATTTATATACAAAAGCAAAAAAATTGCAGATAAAATTACAATAAAATTATAAACAATTTAGCCGTTTAGTTCGTTCGACATTTCAAACTGCCGCGCTAAGCTTTTTATAATATGAATCGTAGAGCCGTAGAGCCGTGCTCCCCACCGGCGCTACACAAAATTGTGAATGGCTTATTGGCGGATTCAAATGCTTAATAATGAATTATGAATTATTTTGTAGTTGGCCAGGCTCAGGGCACCAGCAGCCGGCAGATGGATGAACCGGAGTGGAGATGCTTTCCACCACATTTCTCTTTCAAGATTTATACTTTTTTTTTTTTTAATTGTATTCTTAAGCGTTTGGTTATAATTACTCTTATGAATTAAGTAAAAATGTATACTTGTAGGGGGTACAGGAAACTGGGAACTTGAACTAGCAAACGAACGATAAATATTAAATATTAACAGCATTTACGATGCCATGTTAGGCGTGGCCCAAGAGAAAGACTTCGATGAAACCGCAACAGTTAAGAGCAATGGCCATCTGAGCATCCAGCAGTAATTGTGGCACTAGATATTTGGCCATTAATCTAGATGAGCGACACGTTTGGGCCAGGGCCCTCAGACTTTATAAGAGCCGAACTGTTGGGTCCCAGAACACAGAAAACCACAAAATGGAGAGTCTGCGCTGCAAGGTGAGATTGGCTGAGATGGGACTATCTGGTTGATTGGTTATGTGATTGGTGGCTTCGAATTTTTCCAGATCCTACAGACGGCTGTGCTGCTGGTGCTGGTTGTATTGCAGATCGGAGCGGAGCATCTGGGAAGCGAAGACTGCGGGTGCGGGAGGCGAGGATGAACGAGATGAGACATCATCTGAAGAAATTCACCAGAACATCAATAAACAAGCGACGAGCAATGCACTGAATTTTTTTAAAAAACCAATGCCTCTCTCGGCTCTTTGCTATATTGGGTGAAATCCGCCAAAGACACGTACTAATCGCTGGCCAGTTGAGTGTCGCACATGGTACGCAGCCGGGCCAGAAGCGTGTGCAAATGCTCGACGCCGGCTGCTTCTACTTTCTGGGCCCCTGTCCCTTGTTTCCCAGTCAAGGTTTCCATATACATGCGCTTGTACAGCTTGGACAGCTGTTTCGGGTCCTTGCCGGTCAGCAGCAGTTTGGTGAGCGTCTTCAGAGCATTCTGCAAACGGCTCTCAAAAAGCGTCAAATGGCCGGCAAACTCGTCATCGTTCTGGGCCACCTGGTTAGAGTCGATGACGTGTTTAAAAATGACTTGGCACTGCATGCAAATGTCCAAAGCCGCTTGCATTTGCTTGATCTTTTGAGCGGGGTGTGTGGAAACTGTTGGAAAATGGAACTATAGAGGGTTTCAATTAATACCCTTAGCATACTTACGTTCTGCAAGAAACTCATGCAGGGAAATCCTCTCCAGCTGCACCACCAAAAGGTCACCCACCTCCTTCAAAGCCTCCAGTATCTGAGTGGCCTTTTCATAGTGATATTTGCAGAGTTGCAGAGTAGGTTTGGGCAGCTGGGAAAACTCACAGTTGCCATAAGAACGCAGCTGGGCATAATGGAAAGAGGCGATTCTGAAAGAAAATGTTACAGAACTGGACTGGTATTCTTGGTGGCTAAGTCCTACCTCTTGTGTATCAGACCAGATCGAAAACTGTAGAGCACTTGCCGTGCTCCAGCATGCTCCACGTCGCACAACTTAAGCGATTTCTGTAAGAGCTCAAGCACCTCTTTGGAGGCTTCCACCAGAGTGGATTTATCGGCAGCACTGTAGTCCTGCAGCTGTTTGGCTAGGGTAAAAGTGGCAGTGGATAGTTCCCATTGGACAAGGTCCCAGAGCTCGGCATTTGCCTTTCGGGTGTCTAGGCAATCTTTGGCCTTTTCGTAAAAGTTGAAGGCCTCGTTATAGAAGGCTTTTTGGGTGTCTAAGGCAATGGCACTACGGAAAGCAAGTTGTATGTTAAATCTTGACTCGTTACTTGGAAAGTTAACTCACCTTTCATTAGGCATGGTGAGGTGAGCCCGCAGGCGCATAAACCTGCCCATGTTGCAGTAGAGAAAGGCCAGGTTAACATTATCCTGCACGGCAGTGAAGGCTTCAATGCCGCGTCGCAGGCAATCATAAGAATTGACAGTCAGTTTCACATAGAGAGGCTCGCTGCTTGGACTCGAATCCTCGCTGGCTTTAGTTTCATCCTTTTTCTTCATCATGTCGCTGTACTCCTCTGGAAAACCATAGTCATTAGCCAAGGAATAAGAAAGTGTGAAATGTATTCCCACCCTGAGCCCAGTACATGTACTTGAGACCGAGTTCGTTTCGTACGTTTCCCAGTCTCCTGAGCAGTTCGTTGCTCTCCGTTTTCTTGGCATGTTCCAGGGCCTGCTCATAGCACTTACAGCTCAGCAGCATCACCTGCTCCACGTTTTTCACGGGTGCCAATGTAGGCAACGCATCCTCCTCCTCGCCATCCAACTCCATGGTGAGCTCATCATTTATGGTACGCATCGGACCGTCCACCTCTTCGAACTGCTTGACATACTCATCGATGGCCTCCCAGTGCTTGGACATCTGGAAGAAGCAGTCTCCTGCCCGGCCGAGCAAGCAACTCTGCTGCGAAACCACGTTGGCCATGTACTTGTTCAGCACCTGTTGGCATCGGCAGGCCAGCTCGATAGACCGCAGAGTACTCCCGTAGCTGTGGGTCTCGTAATTGTGTTCCGCCAAGGTGGCGAATGTTAGGCAGGCCTTTTCCAGAAGCAGGAGCTTCAAGTGGACATTCCAAGAGCCAAAGTGTTGGGTGTTGAACTTGGCGCTTAGCTGCTGGTTGCTAGCAGTGCTGGGGGTCTTTGCCAGCTCCTTGGTCTTGCTTCCCTTATTCTTCGTTTTCTTGGTGTTGATCGGAGAAGGCTGAGGCTGGTGTTGTGTCTGCTTCAGTTGCTCATAGGGCAGTGGAATGGCACTGAAAGGCTTGGCCATGTTGGGATTCTGCTCTTCGTGTAGAATCCGTCGTTTCTCCTCCTGCTTGGCATGAGTCTCCGTCTCCTTGAGCTTCTCCTCCTGACTTCCATTGAAGTACTGCAGGCAGGATAGTCCTGCACTAATGTGCTCCAAGGAGATGCTGCACCTCTCCGAGGTGTTGGCCAGCAGAGGTGCTGGCTGGGACTTCTTGGCGTTCGATTTAAAGTCCCGCAGAGCATCACATATGTGTCGCACGGCAACATTGGCTCTGCCACCCCCTTGCTCGCTGCTCTGGTAGTTCTTATCACTTGGGTAGTCCAATAGATCATCGTCATAGTCCTCTTCGTCCTCCTCGTCATCGTCGTAGAGAGATTGCTCGTCGGAGTCCAGCTCCTCAAACTTGGGAGCCTTGGGATCAATCCCGGCAGGCACGTGTAGATCCGACAGTATATAGTGCGAGGAGCTTACAATCTGTGGGTACTGCTCCTTGGGCAGCAACTTGATGCAATTGTCCAACAGGGCTCTAATATTTCCCGCAGCCTTAGGACTTATCTTGGGAAGACTGTTCTTCATGTTCCTGGCCACGGAATACAGAAGCATGCCAACCGGCACGGTAAACGGATTAACCTGCTGCTGCGGCGGATTGTTTTCATTCTTTTCGGATTGGCTCTGGCAGAGAGTGGTCAGGTCGTACAGCTTCACCACGTCATCGTTGCGGCCTTTGAAGAGCCAGTAAGTATGACCCGCCTTCGTGGCATTCGCTTTCAAAAAGGCCAAGATGTTCTGCGCCACGTTCCGCACCACTTGGGGCGAAAACTGCGAGTTCTCCAGATACGGCAAGTCCTCAGTCTTGATGATCTCGTACTTTTGCACAATTCCATCCAGGTGATAGCACATCACCACCTCAGGAACGTTGCACATGAGGTTGTCCAACCAGTAATCGATTCCGGTGAGTACATTTATGGGCTGGGCAGCATCTCTTAGCCTCAAGCTAATACAGGGTCTGTTGGGGCCGCCAAAGATGGGCATGTCTGTTCCAATAAGCATGCGAATGTCCTCAAAAGTCCACACCACGTTCCTGTTAAAGGCATGGCTCGACTTCGGATCTGGCACATTCTCCTCGATCTTCGGCTCGGGCAGAACGGGCCCAGTTATGGGCAAGCCCTGACGCCGACTGGTAAGCTGCGTGGGCGTAGGAGTCATCTCGTGCTCAGGGTCCCCGGCATTTTGCTTGAGACTGTGGTACAGGAACTTGGAGAGTAAATTCTTAGTCTGGAGTGCCTCTCGAGATCGCTCCTTCAGGCAGTAATTCGGTCGCTTATCACCGTAGGTCAGTATGTGCTCCAGGATGAAGGTACGCAGCCACTTCCAGTCGTCGTCCGCCTTCCGCAGCAGATATTTCTGAATATCGAACTCGTCGAGAAGCAGCGTGTTTCCCACCTTATGCACCACCATGCTAATGGCGCTCTGGGCGCTGTAGGGCAGCTTCAACAGCTGTTTGATGTTTTCTGCATCGCTGACTACATCCACTTCTCCCACGCAGTCTGGAAACATCTGGCCCAATCGAAAGCTGGCAAATCCGGCACTCTGGTACAGAGCCTGGTGAAGACCATGGCTACTATGCGAAGTGGTCAGCCAGTTAAGCGGCGGCAAGTTCAAGTTGGTGTTGCACTCCAGCCGCTTGAAGTGGGCGGGCAGCTGCACAGGAGACAGCTTAATCACCGCCTGGCTCTTCACCACGTCCAACTCGTGGGGCCCAACACTACGGCATGGTTCAATCTGTGGAAACCGTCAGAATAAATAAAATTAAAGAAATATACTTCATGTTTACCTCTTCGTTGCTATCTTCCATTGTTGGGTTGGCTCATGGATCTCATGTAGAATCAAAATTATTCCATGGAATATTCAAGAAACTGTAGGAAAGTATGTTTTTGTTTTGCCGGCTTTGGAGGTGGGCCAACCCATCCCGATAGTATCGATATATCCAACCAGTGTTAGAAAACTACGGAGATCCCATGACCATATGTTTTCCCAGGGTACCCTTTTCGGGCGCCCCTGAACGTATCACAAATGTTGTTCCTTCACATTTAACTACAACTGGACGCGTAGTTTCCATAATTGGACTAAAAACTGACTTAAAACCATGACGCTGTTCGCCCTCATAGCGTTGCTCAGCCTGCTGAACACAATCCTGCCAGACTTCATTCGGAACTACGTGAGTAACAGTGCAGGTCAAGCATTTGGAACTCCGCCGCTACCATTATTTTTCTTTGACTCCCCAGCTCAAAGTATCCCGTCTGTGGGGCTCCAAGAACTCCAAGGAAATCCAAAGGCTACAGGCGGAGGTGACCACCGCCCGGGAGCAGGTGGAGGTGGTGCGAAACGCGGAGCACTCCGGGGAGTATGCCAGAACCATCAAAATTATGCGCGCCGAGCGCAAAGTGCAAGAGGCGGAGGCCAATCTAAAGTCCGCTCGCGGTATGGAGAACCTCCTAAAAATGGGCATCGATACCACAGCGTTCTACGTCTCCAAAGTTCTTCTCTTCATCATCACGTTCATAGTCAGTGTCCGGAATCGCGGCACGCCCGTTATGATCATTGACGAGGCCATCAGCTTGGCCCCGTTCACCGGACTACTAAGTTTCCCCACCGGCGTGGCCAATGCGATATCCGTGCCGGCCTGGGCGTTTTCCTGCAATCTTACTTTCCGTCTCATTTATGGTTTCATCGAAAAACGAAAGGCGTGAGAAATATCAGTGCAATATGTTCTTGCTTAGGCTTCAGCACGCATTATCAATATTAAATGCAATGTCCCATAATATTTATTATTGTAAGCGCAAATCACACGAATAAATGTATTTTTGGAAAATAGATTTCGAAACGGCCGCCATATGTACAGATACTTACCAACACTGCATTGGCTGAAAGTGTTGGGAAATGCTCTACGTTGTGTGCGTGTCATTTTCCCCTCGTCCGATTTGTTTGGAATTCTTGTTGACCGAAAATGGACAAACTAAATGAAAACACCCGCGAACGGAAGCAGATTAAGCTGGGGGAGATCGACACGGGTCCCATCCTGGTGGCCCTGCTCCTGGGTTTCATTGCAGTGGGTGAGTTAGCCACGTGGTGTACACTTCTGTCCACAAAAGTCTCACCTTCGTATTCGATGAATATCATTAATATGTAACCTTTGTTACAGCCATTTTTGTAATCTTGCGACGACGCTCCGCTGGACGCAAGGACTTCCTCCTGACTGGTCTCAGTGAATCCGGTAAAAGTGCCATCTTCATGCAGGTGCTGCACGGAAAGTTCCCGGCCACATTTACTTCCATCAAGGAGAACGTGGGCGATTATCAGGCGGGAGGTTCCTCCGCCAAGTTGGTGGATATTCCCGGCCACTACAGAGTGCGCGACAAGTGCTTTGAGCTGTACAAACATCGAGCAAAGGGCATTGTTTTTGTGGTGGACTCAGTGACGGTGCAAAAGGAAATCCGTGATGTAGCCGAGTAAGCATTGATGGGTCTCTTTCCTAGGAGTTTTTATCAAAACCTTCTCCATTGCAGCTCCCTCTACACCATCCTGTCGGACAGTGCCACACAGAACAGCTCTATTTTGGTACTCTGCAACAAACAGGACCAGACCACTGCCAAGAGCTCACAGGTCATCAAAACGCTGCTGGAAAAGGAGATCCACACCGTGAGGGATACGCGTAGTAGGAAGCTTCAGTCGGTGGGAGACGATGACGCCAACAAAACTATAACTCTGGGCAAACCAGGACGCGATTTTGAATTCTCGCACATCGCCCAAAATATCCAATTTGTGGAGGCCTCGGCCAAGGAGCAGCAACTTAACACCCTCACCGACTGGCTGGCTCGTCTGCTGTGAGATGCAGCTCGACTATCCTGGAGGACTGAGTCAAATTGAATCCTAATCGAACGAATGCGGAACACCCTTCAACACATTGATATTTATTTTGCAGCCTAGTGCGCCTCAAAATCGCATATATATACGCCATGTCTATATATCCAGCTGTTAGAGTATAAAATCGTGCATTGTTAAATCCTTCTATCCTAAACCTTGCTTCCCTTCTGTTTTCCCAGATTATTTTTAGGTTTATAATGAAATTTTTACAAATGTTAGCATTAATTTTGTGCTAGATTTCTTAAATAAGAAAAAATGATCAACGATTTTTAAAAACAAGAAATTATATGTAGAGTATTTTATAGGGATTTTTAATGGGCAATTATTTTAATTATTTAATATTTTTAACGCGCCACAGTTTTTAAAAATGTTTTAGTTTCATTTATGAACAAAATACTGGGATGGCGCTGCAAACGGAAGATCGTGTAGAGAAGATGTAAAAATAAAGAAGCCCAAGTAAAAGGTTTCTCCTGCATTTTTGAAAGACAAAATAATGCATTTAAAATAAATAAAATCTAGATTATATTAACTATATGTTTTACGAAATTATTTAAAGGTTTTAATGGAAATTTCCGCTAAAAGAATGAAAGGAAGACTTTTCGCTACATTTCAAACAAAATTTTTAATATCAGCATTGGACTTATTTTTATTAAACTATGTATTTACTTTTTAATCTGTATGAATATTTATATTAAAAGATAAATCAAATTCAAAATATCACTTTTCTGAAACCAAATTCATTTCCACTTATTGAAGAAACATTTGAGGTTTTATATCATTTAATGAATTTATTTTGGTTTAGTATCCTCGACCTTAAAACTCATTCGATTAGAAGATTTGGCCAGCTGGTTAGCCACTAATTTCTCAATCCAGATTCTAGCTCGTGACATTCTGCTTTTCCAATAGCAGTTGGCATCCAGTTCCCGGCAACTTCTGCCAGGCCAACTGTCCCAGAAACCCAGAGATGGGGCCGGGCCAACGATGGCCAAATGTTTGGCGCATGCGCAAGCTTTCAAACCTTTTTCGCGATTTGAGACCTTTTCTTTCAGAAAAAACAGCTGTCGATCAATCGCCGGCGAATCCATCGATCCACCGGCCAAAGATCAAAAAGCCGCCACGCAAAATCAATGAGCTCGCCCTGCCCTCTGGTCGCTTCTCTGGACTAGATAGAATTTCTAGGCTGGCTGAATTTCTAAGAATCCAGAGCTTTCAAGATTTGCCGAATTTGTTGGTGGAAGTGAGGATGAAGCTCTGGGCGGATGTCCCTGGCCGCGAATTTGGCTGGCAGCTGCCATTGGAGGTAGGAAATCGTCGTCGTTGGTGGCATCCTTCGGCCAGCGACGGATGGATGATGGACAAAGCTGAGAATTTCGGAGAAAAGTGCGCGAATTAGATAAATGGCTTGGGTTGAAGAACTTGAGTGCTCAATGGGCTTGGCTTTTGCTTAAACCTGAGATATCGGCTAAGAGGCAGGAGATTGGCTCATAAAATGAAATGGATTTTAAGAAAAATAGATTTAACATTTAAGGGTATTTAAGGATTAAACTAAATAAGCTCGGATCAAAAAAAGTTAACTTAAAATAAACCTGTCTATGTCTATGGAACAATTATCCTCTCGAATAACCCCTTCATCACTTCCTGTCCAGACCCCAAAAAATCCAAACCAGATTTGGTGTCATGTGCATTGAAGCACGTGCTACACCCGAAAAGAACACAAGACTCCAACAAAAAAAAGTGTAAAATTGTACGAAAAATGCAAAGTGCAGCCAGAGCCAGACTTTTTACAGCTGTAGACAGGCTACGGAGAGAGACTGGGGGAACCATATGTTGCAGACACGCTTTAGCCAAGCGGAAGAGCCTCCGGAACCCTCCCCCGAAATCCGTTCTCCATTCCCCCGTCGAACTTCGAATATCCCCCCAAAATCCTATATTGAATCTTGGAGCGTAGAGCGTATACAGTAGCTGCAAATTATTCACGACTGATTAGGCAGAAAAACGCAACAGGCAAGTCGAAAAAATACATACGATATCCTCGCCGGGATCCGATTACCGGCAAGAATCTTTTCGGCCAGAGGTGAAGCAGAATTCACTGGAAGGCAGACAGACATTTTTGAGGTTAGGCGAGTGGGGATATTGAATTACGATCGCATCGATTCGACTGACCGACCGACCGACCGTTAGTTGACAAAAAATTGAACTTGAGTTGGCAATAAATCTGCGACTTTTAGAAAGTCTTTATGCGATTTATGGGCGGGCGTGCGCCTTTGCCGATCTCTGATATTTTAATAAGCCCGCTCCACAATTACCCGACATGGGCGTTGGGGGACCGGGGCGAAATATTCGTACTTATAAGGCTCTCGACTGGCCGGATGACTGGCTGGCAGATGCAGCAGGCGCCCATTAAATTTTTATGTACACAGCCGCGACGTTTTGTGGGTTTTCACGAGGTTTTCATGAGGTGCCAGAACGGGAGAGTGTGCTGCAAAGAGCTGCCCGCCACATATGCAATTTATTTTAACACATCGTTAAAGCTCAAAAAATAAATCTTGACGCGCCGGACACTGCAATTATCACCTCTGCATAATCAGCCCTGCCATACGAGTCGGCGAGAGGTGAGCACATCGAACATCGGGATCGGGAGCAACGCATGCCCCCGGGTGGAGATGGGGATGGAGTTGGAGCTGGAACTGGAGATACACGGCTACAGCTCCTTGACCAGCCGGCTGGATCGGTTAGCTTTCATTTTTTGGGTAACCAGAATATGGCCCATTATCACCGACTATACAGGGAGAAATATGTAAAACAATGTTATTTTTTCGCATGAATATTATTATATAATTTACTGTAGTCTGTTGTGCGAATAAACTGGCAACATAAGCATATATTTATGAATAAAATAGATCAGTTTTGGAGGCATATTTTCTTTCAGTGTTCTGTTGGCACTGTCCAGCCCACGCGGCCCCACTCCCGGGCAGCATCCGCCGCATAATGACAGTTCATTTAGCACCTTGTTGACGCGGCATCTAATTAAATGGTGCAACCGGCGAGGACTGGGCCAGCCCATCTTAAGACATTTCAAGTTCGGGGGCTACCTTTCAGCCTAATATCGAGCGCAATTTCCATGTAATGCCAAATTGTTGCGCCTTGTTGTTTGGGCTATCACGATCCGGGATGATGATGGTGATGGTGATGTGATGTGATGATGGTGATAATGTCGGACACTTGACGCCGTCGTCGTGGCTGCCGTCATCGTCATCGTCGTCATCACCTGGAATTGGCTCTGGGCAATCGCTTTCAACAACTGCAAAACTTTCTCAGGCATTGATGATTATTTTTGATTTCTGTGCATACATTTCTTGATTAATTATAATGTGCACCGATCTCCGAGGACCCACCAGCGGCAGCTGCGATATTGCCCTGGCAAATTGTGCTGCAGGAACAGGAGTTGATGTTGCAGTCTCCAGTGTGCCATAAACGTTTTCTCATGACACGACGACGCCTGGGATAATTATGGGTTTAGTCAAGATTCAGATTCAGATTCGGGCTTGACTTCTGGCTTCCTTACGGGGTTCAGTGCGTGCACCGTAGCCAGTAGTCAGTAGCCATCGAGGGGAATCGGCGGATATAATGCTGGGGAAAAATGTTTGCATTGGTCCGACCATATCCAGGGGTTCCAGCTCCGAGCTGTGAGCTCCCAGCTCCAAGCTGTTCGTGTCAATTGCACATCACGCGCTGTTTCATTAAGTTTATTTTTAAAGGAAATTATTTTTAAACGCAATAATTTGTTGCGCCGGCATTTGGGGGGCTACCTAAATGAATGTGGTTAAGGGCATTCCAGTCCTGATTCTGCCCAATAACAGGGGACTGTCCGCTGGGTTAAATTTAGACATTTCAAGGTTGGTATTATCCGCAATGAAAAAGAAAGTTGCCTCGGCCGGATAATTGATACT